TTGGTTTCAAAAGAATGTGATTAGCTCCTAATGACTGCCACCATTCCCTGGTCAATCTACTGTAACTAGCCACTAATGTAAAAATAATGCCCCTGGCTCCTTCACTTTGAAGACGAGATAAATCTCCCTTTCATGCTCTTACCCCTCAGATTTGTTTTCTTGAAGAGATTATCCTCTATTAGGCTGCAACTACCTAAAAGGGGAAACATATGGGTGATCAAAGTCTGCCAATTAGGGATCATTACCACCTCCCCTCCTTGGTTCTATTAGGAACACCTGTATTTGTCAACATTGTCACAAATTCATACCCATCCCCACACCCTACTCCTGGTGTCTCTCAGCCTCACTAGGGGGAGACAAAGGTCCTGGAGCTGCAGTGAGTGCCTATGTGTATCCCCAAGGGGAAGTAGCCCTCAATCATTACAACTGTTAAGTTGGGTGTAGGATTTCTCTGAAATAGTGTAGTAGGAAGACCGCTTGTTTGTTCCCGGCTGCTCAGGCCCAAAATAACCGCACAGAAACTCTATTAATTAAATTATTGCCTGGCCTATTACTCTAATGTATTCCTAACAAGCTCTTACATATTAAATTAACCCATTTCTGTTATTTTATATTTTATTGCAAGGCTCGTGGCCTACCAGCAAGGTTCCAGCTGGAGCTCACATCTTTCTCCTCTGGCAGTTCCATGGCTTCTCACTGACACCACCTTCTTTCTCCCAGCATTCAATTTAGTTTTCTCTGCTTAACTCTATTCTGCTTTGCGCAGGCCCAAGACAGTTTTTTTTTATTAACCAATGGTATTCACAACATACAGAGGGGAATCCCACATCAGTATAGGGCTGCCTTGGCTTCTCTCCAAGGCCATGGTTTTGGTGTTAGTCCACCATTAAGACCTCTAGGTTTGTCAAGATGGACTTTCACTGGATGTCTGCAGTGTTAAAATACAGAGGGACCATGCTCATTCTACTGGGTCCATGGAGGCAGGCCAAGGCAAAACGCAGGGCCAGAGCAAGAAGAAATCCAGCCAGCGGTGCTGTTTAAGGACAGACAGGAAACTGTGGAACAGTGAGCAATCTGTCACTGAGGGTGTTCCAGGGATTGACACCGTGAATCAGCTGATGAGCTGCTTGAAGGCCACAGTAAGTAGGACAGTTTTCAAGGTCACAGATGACTCTGCAATTCTAAGATCTTTATCATCCACAGACACAGAAGCCACCCATTTATTAGTCATTTTATTCATTCCAAGCTTGTCATTCTCATAGTGTGAAGTACAGTGCTAGTAGTGGGCCCTGGAAATGGGGTTATAAATGTGGTGTTCTCCTTTCTCTGAAGAAGCCCATGGCCACTTTGGAAGGTAGGCTTTTGGGTTATCCGATGTAGCGATGTCCATATGAAAGTCCATATATAAAAGTGACTGGCTCTAGCTGAATGTAGTAGGGAAGGGTGAGTATAAAGACCACACAAGGGAGAAGAAGCTTGGATGTGTTTCGAAAGATACTTAGGGATTTTACAGGAACCTCGAGTGGAAGGGAATTTCAAGTCGAAAGAACATGTGTAAAGTCTCAGAAATCTAAAGGACTTTGTACATGGCCAAAATAAGACTTAAAGACCATTTGGGATGAAGTCATAAAGGCCTTTTTATGAATTTGGAATTTACTCAATAAATTCCAATAAAAAAGGAGTAACTGGGTCTTGTTCACCATTTATAAAAATCACTCTGATTACAATGGAGGATGAATTGGAGGGAACAAAACCAAAGCCATGAAATCCAAAGGTAAATTATCTCTGCAGAGAAACTTGCCATTTTAACAGTGAAATCTCATAGGAGCTTTGATCATGGCCTATGGCCACATTTTATCACAGACAGTGACCTATCTGATCTGGAGTAAGTCTTTGGCATCAAGAGCCTAAAACCATACACAAGTAATGCCAGCATTACCCTAAAGAGACTGTAAGCTAACTGAAACCTAAATTCTGACACACAGCAGATACTAAACATGTTTTCCCATAAGATTCATATGAAAATATTCTGCCCCACCGCCATGTTGGAATGAAAAGTTCAGTTTTATCACTGAGAGTTCCAAGTAGAAAATCTGCTCCCCAAAGATTATCCCAAATATCAAGAAAGACAAAACTGTCACTAAGACTCTGACACACAGTAATATGCCTGGCAGACTGACTGACAGAAGTGGGGCTGCCCAGGTAGAAGGTAGGATGAGGTTGGAAGCTGAGTTAGGCACAGGAACACGAAGCATCCGTAGTCTAAAGATAGCCTAAACCAAGGGATATATAGTTACAGGGATGCTTGGTACCCAGAGGCCAGAATTTGTTTTGTTTCCCCCCTGAGATGCCTATCTAAGAGTGTGAGGCACACAAAGAATGACATTCTGAGCCAATAATAGCTTTTAAAAAAAGATACCATAAAGTCAAATTAAAGAGCGTATCTTAGCCAGGAAACCAAGGCAAAGCCCTCTCATTTGTGCCTTTCAGTGACTATGGGAAGAATTGGAGACAGAATGGACACCAGTTCTACACATCCAACTACTTCCTAGATGAAGCCGATGATCATGCTAGAAAAAAAATTCCTGCAAACCATAGACACAAGCTAAACACATAGTTACGAACACCTAAGTTTGTAAATAAACATTTATTGGAATACATGCATTTGTCTGTGATTGTTTTTCGTCTATAACCAGAGGACTAGGTGTGAGTCAAATGTGTATCCAGATTTTCACAGGTAAGTCTTGAAAATAACCTTTGCTATAGGAAACCAAAAGCTGGTGAAGCACATGTGAGACTAGAAGTAAGAAAGGGTTCACTGTGCACGAGCACTGCTTTTGCATATGCAGTAACCATGCCTGCCTCTGAGATCATGGTCTTCTGAGTGACTGAATTTATGACCAATTGATGAGGACTTGGTCTTGCATAGGATGGACCTAGTGAGGAGTAGAAGGGCAAGGTGAAGGCTGATGTGTAAAGATGAGCAAATGTCTCTTCCTCCACTGTGCAGACCAAATCTGGTATTATAAGTAATATCAGGACCATGGGCAGGACATTCAGCCTGTCGTTCTGTAGGGAAGGATAGAGACACTCACCAAAATATGGTTTGTCCTGCATGATGCTGCAGGCTGGCTAAAGCTGTTCCCACTTTATAAATGCTTGTTTATCCCCTCTGATGGAACTGATGGCATCTTCCCTTTGTTCTAGACCTCTTGGCCCTTAGCTCTTGCAAACCATCCACATGGGCTTTCCCTTGGCTGTCACTTAGGTACTTGCCTCCCTCTTAAACTGATGGCTGGCTTCTACCTCCTCCCTGCCTTTAAACTCTGAAGCTCTGCATCAAACTTCCTGATCAACAGCTCAGCTTAGGTGTCTTACAGACATCGCAAACTTGGGTGCCATTATTACTATTATTTTTACTAACTTCAACACATTAAAATACACAGTGCCCACTAGTTAGGAACCTTCTAAGTATATTATATACCCAAAATGCAATGCTTACTTCCCACCCAATCAATAATGTTTCTCCCTTAGATTTCTCCATTTCAGTAAATGACATTTCTCTGGTTCTTCAAACCATTGACCTAGAGGTCAGCATACATTCTTCTTTCTTTCACAGTTCCTGTCTAAATTCCTTGCATTAGTGCCCTCTGCAAATCCATCCCCTCATGGTTCTCTGCACACCAACCTGACAGTTTTCTCTAGTCAGCATCTATGTTTCGTTACCCGAGGGCTTCCTTGAGACTAAAGAATAGCCACACCACCTACAGAGCAAGGCATAAACATGAGGATTTTCTGACACTTATTCTCCAACAACAGTAGAAGAGAAATAATTGGCAAGCGTTCCATCTCCCTACCAGCTCTCCCCTTCTCCTCTCATGAAAGAGCCCTGGACATGAGATGTATTCATGAATTATTGAGCCCTAGTTTGACTTGGTGGCACAGTGACAATCTTCCCTGTCAGCTTCATTCCCTTGACTGTCTAATTCCCCCTTTCTCCTCTCATTCTCTTTGATTGCCTCCAAACCCAGCCACTTGTACCCAAAGCCTTATCTCTGGGTCTCCTTCTGAGGTGACCTAAGTCTGACACGCTCACCTGAACACCCACAAAATAATTGCTTCTCTCATGGCCACTACTACTACCTGCCCCAACAATCCAAGGACCATTACAAGGTTTGATTACAATAAATTCATAACCAATTTCCCTGTTTCTTATCTGGGCTTCTTAGAATCTGCAGTCCACAGGAACACGAATGCCCTTTGTATAGCAGATTAGGGGACCTCCTTGCTCAGAGCTCTCTAATGGTTCCCTACCACACTTAGAGCAACATTCTTTATTAACCAGGAACTATGATACTTGGGGGTCATTTGGATTCTCAGATCCTCTCTAGAAGTTTCCAGGCAGTAGCTCCGCCCAACAGTCCTACCATACTCTCATCCTATGAACATGATCATGTGGTCACTCTCTGACCTTTGCACCTGTTCCTCCTGCCTGGAAAGTGCTTCCTACTTTTCTCAATGTGCCTGACTTCTTCACCCCATCAAGGAATGAATTTGCATGTGAGTCTTTCACAGAAAATTTCTAAACTATTATCCTTCTGTTGTTCTTTAAATCTTCATATATGAAATTGGATTTGTTTTGTCCTTTGCTAAATTTCCTAATCCACTGGATACTCTAGAGTTCAAGTACCTAGAAAAATTCCCAAAACATAATAGGGTATCAATGAGCATCTGTTGAGTATATGAATTAATAAATGAATGAATGAATGAAATGATTCACTACTGGACTAGACTGTGAGTTCATGATAGAAAGAAGATAAAACAATCTTTGAGCCAATGAACAAGCAATGTAAGCTCATAGGAGGCACCATTACAGACACATAGTCCTGTGTACTGAGTGCCCCATCATAGTCGATACCCATTTCCTGTTGTTGGTTCCTCTACATTTGAGGACAATTGCCATCTCAGGCTATGCTAACCATTCTGCCTTTGCCTTGTAGGCCTTACCAGAGGGACAGACAGCTTCGTGGGACACAGCCAAGGAAGATGAAAACCGCAATAAGAATCGATATGGAAACATCATATCCTGTAGGTGTCCTTCTGAGAGGTTCTAAGTGTTAGATTTTGGGAAATGTGGGAGAAAAAAAAGTTATTGTTTCCTAGGATTTGATATAAAATAATCCTTTTGTTTCCAGCTTTGGGTTAGTAGATTGTTACAATGATCCCAGGAAGGGATGGCAAGACCCAGCTGAGGTCAGTAGTAATCCTAAAGGGGGAAGAAAGGGAGATGGGGAGAGAGGGACAGTCATAAAATGAACTACCGCTCACCAATAGAACACAAGTTTTGGCATTTCCAGATGATGACACGTACAGCCTTCAAAACAGCACAGGGAGAGAGAGCAGAGCTACCCCAGACACAGTGCTGAGTCAGTGCTCTGTCAAGAGGTGCCCATAGCAACCTTCCTGTGATCTATTGTAGCCCAATGCAGGCCTTTTGACATCTTATCCACTGTGTGAGGACCCTTTCTTAAGATCTCAGGGTACCCCAGTTTGGGCAAAGAAAGGAGAAACGGGGAAATCCTTAGGGACAAGTTATTTCTAGCACTGTTGAAGGTTTTGTTTTAACTGTCTAGACATCTCAAAAGAAAAAAAGCTGGAGAAAGAATAAGACACAGGCTGTTTGTAAAGGAAGAAAGAGGCAGAAGTTTTCGCTTAGCTGTTTCCTGTGCTGATTTAGGAATGGGCTGTGAATAGTGGAACTAATCAGAAAACATTTATAATTTCTCTCTTGCATGCAGACAGCAAGATTTCTTGCAAGTGAAGTGTCGGAAAGAGATATTCAAATAGTCAGCAGACATATATTAAGGCATAATGTGTGGGCCTCCTCTGAACACTTCCTGTACTGGGCACTGGAAAATGTCTTTGTTCTGTGACAGGTTTCTATTTGCTATGTCTTGTCCCCACTGTCATTGGTTTCAGTCCAGTGCCTGGTGTATTGTAACCAGTGCATTATTCAATGTAATTGTTGGGTTGTGAACTCAAATAGGATTCACTATTGAAAACAGGTTTCCAGCCGGGCAGTGGTGGTGCACGCCTTTAACCCCAGCACTCAGAAGGCAGAGGCAGGCAGATCTCTAAGAGTTCGAGGTCAGCCTGATATACAGAGTTAGTGCAAGAACAGGCTCCAATGCTACACAGAGAAACCATGTCTCAAAAAAACAAAAGGAAAATAAAAAAGAAAGAAAAGAAAAAGAAAATAGGTTTCCAATTCCCTACTCCCAGGAGTATTAAACAGATGCGAAAAGTAAATGTCTTGACCATATGGAAGGGAGACCTACTCATTGACAGACAGGAATATGTTAGGCCAACAGACAGAAGCCAAGATGTATGAGAGATACACAAAAGACAGGAGAGAGAGGCCTCCTCGGGCCTCCTCAGGCCTCCCACAGCTCATCCACTCCTGAGTCCTCACCAACGGTGCCCTGGATCTAGCCAGCCTTTCACTGTCTCCTCCATATCCCACTGGCCCAGACTTTCTACCTATCTGATCTGTGACAGGATTCATAAAGCTCATTACTACATGACTTAGATGATCTTATTTTTATATGAAAAGCCCTTTAGATGTTCCTTTTCACCCTTGAGTTCTCTTTCTTGCCAGGCCTTTTCCAGACCCACCTATGGGGGCTCAGTCCATCCCAGTCTCCTCGGTGAGACATGCTGGCTGTCACACAGCTCTTGAGATTTCCACGTTGTCTGTCCACACCTCAGTGTCACCTTGACACATTCCATCCTCTCCATCAAAATGCCCGTCCGTCTCTCTGATACTTCTTTTGTCTATCAACTATCATCACTCTCTAGGAGATTTTTTTTTACCCTAAACATGTTGATGAACCCCAATATTCAGCCCTAGAGGTCTGTGCCTTCTGTATACCTTGGCCTTGGCTATCATTATATGTTGAGAGGCATTTGGATGAACCTGCTTGTTTGCCGTAGCTGCCTCACAACAGCAGAGCCACGGCCATTTTGCATTTCTGTTTCCCCAAACATTCCATGTGACTGATGTCTAAGAAATAAGACCTGAATGCGGGGAGACTCCTGTAGGGCATGAGCATTGGGTGTCTCTCTGCTGTGCTGCCAAATTGATGGTGAACACAATAACTGGAGAAAGGCTGGGTCAAGCCAACCCTGGGATGGTAAGCCCCAAGGAGGAAGATGACTATGGAAAAGGTCCATAAAAGCTACAGATTGCATAAAGTGGCATTGTCCTGTAATCAGTCAGGATTCCAGCAAGAAACAGATGGGACCTCCAGATAGCGTCTGTTGAGAAGTAATGACAAGTTCCTTCACAGACTAGTCTAGGAGCAAAGACACTAGAAGCCACCAAGGTCTCTGCAGGAAGATCATCAGGACCTGGAGCCCGATGCTCCCTAGGCACAGGTGTGTCCTCTAGCAAAGGGAGCTAGGGAATACGTTCCCTGACCCTGCTCCCTTGCCTCCAACCACTCTACGCTTTTGCTGTCTGGTAGATGAATCCAACTAGAAGCCAGAGAACAGGGCCAGTCCAGTGACTCTCAAGCATGGCTTCTCCCTGACTCTGCCCTTCTTTCTTCAAGCATTCAGTTCCATCTTCCCCACCTACCTAAGTTCGGCCCTGCTATAGGGCCAAAGCAGTTTCTTTACTTATTAATTCGTAATCACAGTATACAGAGAGAAATCCCATATCACTCTATAGAATGGTGTTCTCTTCCTAAAGTTAAGAGAGCTAGGAAGAACTCCAGTCCAGAGCAAACCCAGATGTCCTCTCATGCAGCAGGATTCTCTACTGCTTCCCAGGAAGAGAGCTAAGATGACATAATGGGCCCCTGCCTAGTTCAATGCTCCTGACTCTAAGCCTCTGCCCTTCTTTGTCCTCTCTGAGGGTGGCACTCTGTTGTTCATGGTCTCAATTCAACCTCCAGCATCTGTGTCGGTCTCTGAGGATGTGTTCTGGACACTGGACTATCATTCTCTGTTTATAGGACAGATCACAGCACTGGGGAATTAAATGTCCTTAGGAGTTACTTTTAACTAATGGCCAATACAAGTGGATGTCTAAGAATCCCAGCTTCCCCTCCCTGGAGGTCCACATTTTCTGTCTTCTCCTAGAGTTCCAACAGCACTGACGCCTGCTTGTCCAGTGTGCCCGGTTCTGGGTGACAGTCTGTCACTGGATTCCTTTCTTCCTGGCATTTCCTGGCAGACCCTCCAAAATCACTAAACGAACTCCTCCACTCTGGTTCTGCTCCCACTGTTCTTTCAGGAAGGCTTCCTGGTGGAGCACTGCCTAGTGACATCCTGAGAGTACAAGGAGCTGCAGTGGTTACAACACTGTCCCCTGTCCTCTCTGGGTACTCTTCCTGTCTGTTCGTCCTCTCTCTCCCGTCTCTGCGGTGGGAGCTTCCCAGCTTCAGCTAGCAGCTAGCATGGATCTGTGGAGACAAGGAGACACACAGAACGGATGTGTATCCTCTTTGTGTGGTGCCCAAGCTGTATCTGCTGCGTCCCAATAAGGGTAATTCAATCAAGATTGAATGTTTAGACCTTTAGCTTCGATGAGGTACCCAGGCAGTCCCTGTGGAATTACCTGCTTCCTCCCTACCTACTCGTGCAAGATGATAGCATTAACATTTCCAATACTTCCAGGAAATGGTTTTGCAGCTCCACAATTCATTGTAATGAGTCAAATCTCTTTTCTCTGAAAAATTGCTCCTGTTTTTTACCCTCTGCCGTCCCCAGAAGACAGGAGGAAAGATTATAAAGTATGCAAATGAGAGTCTCTCCCAGCCCCACCTTTCTGAAGTGATTCTCTCTTAAAGCGGATGTGACTTGAGATGACTGATTTATTAGGTTCTGTCTGATGATGGAGAAAAGGGGGGACCTGGGGTTTGGTTTTTAGTTAGAATTTCACAAAGGAGAGAACTGAACCTCTTCCTCCAGAGTGGCTGTGAAATGACAACAAGATAGAGACAGGGACCAGGATTAGGGACCAAGATGTTGGTGGGAAACAAGGGATAGAGGGATTTGGGGCACTGGGTCTTAGGGGCCAGTTTGCCACTATGTAAAGAGGCTGTCTGCCTTATACCTTCTATTGAGTGACAGAACTCCACAGAGCCTTGAGTTTTCCATCCATGAAGTAAGGTATGCAATTTGCCACTCAGACTTACTTTTTTAATCACATGGCACAGTATCCATGTAGCTTCTGGAATAGTCTGTGGAACACCTTACACTCTCCATACAGATAAATTCCTGTCCCTTGCCACCTGCCACTGAAGGGTCTTTGACCTCATGGCTCAGTTCCAGGAAGTCTCCTGATCATTCCCAAGAGAGATTAAAGTTAGGACAAATCTGTGCTGAATAACTCAACATTAATTTGCATGCTCAAAAGAGGGCGTGCACTGTGAAAATCTTGTTTAAACATACATTTTCCTCTTGCAGCTTCTGATTCAGGAAACTGGTGTATGACCCAAAAATCTGGATATCTAAAGATCACATTTAGAAATCCATTGGTCTATAATAATAATAAGGTTCCACTTAGATATTTGTGTTGATCTTTACAGCAGGTTCAATGATTTCATATTTGATCTCTTTTCATCTCTGGCAAAAGTCTGTAGTAAAAAAAATATTATGTGGGGGTTATAGTTGAATAAATAGATGTTCAAGGAATATTACAACCCAAGCCAAGTACTATGATGAGCTAGTTAGAGAGTGGAGGGGGCGTCTCAGGTTGGCCTTCACACTTCAGCCGATCCTTTAGCTCTCTTCTAATGAAGATAAGGATTGGTTGTCGATATCAAGGCAGGGCAGGACTGCAGGTGAGACAATGGATCAGCCATGATGAGATAAAGAATTTGGTCGTGATGCATGGTCTCAGACGAGTGTGTGCCTCAGCACATGTGAAGAATCTGTGATCAGAACAAACACAGTATATTGGGACCAGTTACGGTCAAGGTTACCAGGGAAGTTTGTGGAGAGGAGACCATGACAGGGCAGTGGGTTCTCAGGCAACCAGAGCTGGTGTGGCTTTGTGGGAAGTGGTAAGAGTCTCTGCTAGTGGTGTGCTCCGGTTGATTCATGCCAGTGAATAAAAGCAGACATTATGATCAGCATAATTTTCGTACATCTGTAGTTTACAATGGGTGATGGTGATAGAATTTACACCAGTCATGTGATATATCAAACCTCTGTTCCTTTTCAGAGAGCTATTTGTAAGCCTCTGAAACAGTTACCAGCCATGGGTCCACATTCTACAGCCATAAAGAACAGATAGATTGAAGACAGAAGGTGATGTCCCCCTGCCCCTGCAGCTGTTCATGGGACAGCTTGGGATTTCCAAGTCCTTCATAGCCCCTCTACCATCAAGCAAAGGTTATTTCTTTCCCAATCCCCGTTTCCTCGAGGAACCTGGAGTATCCAGGCTCCTGCCCCTTCATCTTACTTCCCATTCAGGGAGTTTCTCCTCCTCCACAAGATTCCTCATAACCCTTCTCTTTGTCTTGACTCTCAAACACTGCATGCCAAATTAGTTGTTTTTCAAGCTTGCAAAATGTAGATAGAGCATAATGAACATTCTGGGCGGCTTGTAAATTACCTTGTATAAGCTCCTTGCCATCGTTGGCTGCCCCATCTTTCTCCATGTGCATGTGAGTAAACACAATTTTTATCTTTCTAATTACATAAAGTTAGCAGAAGAAAGGGACACAGAATAATATTAGCATTTCCCAGAACAGATAAATAAACCATGAGGACACTGCCATTCTTTGTATTGCCTTTCTGGTAGACCTGTATCTGAATTCTGTCCTTTAAGGAACGCATACATTACTCCTGTCTCTGCAGATAAACAGATTTGTCTTGGGGCAGACGGACAAATGGGGCACATTAGCTTTCTCGGTGTCTCTACTGTCACCCCACTGTGTACCTTATATCTAGCCCCAAGCCTCCATTTATTGAGTCCCTGCTGTATGCCAGGCACTATTCTCTATTTCTTTAGGAGCAATTTTAGTTTTATAGAGAAGCTGAGTGGCAAGTACAGAATTCTGCACCACTTACATGTTGTTTCCCCTTTCATCAACACTGCAGAACATTTGTTGCTGTTAATAGCCTAATATTGGTCCATTATTGTTAGTTTAAGTCCACAGTTTACATTAGGGCTCACGTTGTATGTTATGCAGTTCTGTAGAACTGGAAAGTGCATATATTCTAATTACAGTATTTTAAAGAATAGTTTCCTTTCCCTAATTGTCCCCATTGCTCAACATATTTAACCCTCCTTCCTCCTCTTCTAAACCTCTGCCAACCATTGAAGTTTTTATAGGCTCCATGGTTTCTTTCTCTTTTGGCGTATTATACAGTTAGAACCATATGTAGAATCAACATTCAACATAGCCTTTCCAGAATGGCTTCCACTACTTAGCAATAGTATTTAAGTCTCTGCCACGTCTTTTATAGTTTGTGAGTTCATTTCTTTTTATCACTGAATAATATTCCAGTATATGGCTATATCACCCTTTATTTATCCAATTCACTTACTGAGGATATTTTTGGATGTTTCCAAATTTGTACACTCATGACTAAAGCTGCTTACACACGGTTTTAATGTAGGCATAAGATTGCAATACTTTGGGTAAATACCAAATAGTGTAATTACTTGATCTCATGGTGATGGATTCTCCGTTTTGTACGAAATGGTCTATCTTCTAAGAGGCTGCACCATTGTATGTTTTCTCTAGCAATGAGTGGGTTAGCATTCCTGTTACAAATATTAGCATGTATTTGGTGATATTGTGAGGTTTTTGCCACTGTTGTGTATGTAGTATTTCTCTGTTGAAAGTTTAAATGTTCTAGGTCCTTGTGTCTTGGTGCCTTAAAGTGGCATAGAGAACACTCCATTCTAATCCAGCCTTCTCTTCTGTCCCCTCTTGTTACTGTTCCCCTCACAATCAGTAATCCCAGGGAAAAGACTCTTCTGCAGTCCTACACCACTGCACTTCCTGCAATGTGCTGTCTTTGAGGATTCCTGCTTCCACAGTGTCCTCTAAGAGAAAGACTTCCTGGATGCCCATGGGTCAGAGCTTCCTCACTTTTAATTCTTGTGTCTCATTTCACCACACAAAGCTCTGTATTCCTTGCTTCTGCGACCTTGATGTTTCACTTCCATTTGTGAGCCATCTCCTTGATCAAATTGCCCCTATTGCTTAAACATGAAGCTCACCTACTCTAACCCTTTCTTAGTTCCTTCACCTAGGCTGGCACATAGTAGGTAATCAGCAAGTGTGTTCTTAATAATAAAGGAAGATATTGGTATACAAACTGAAGGTTAGAGACACATATACTCTTTAAGGATATTTGACTCAAAATTGTAAGTTTCTTTCTTTTGCTTTGTTTCTAATGATTTTTGCTTTTATATAAATCCCCTTTTATCATTTTAAACCAGAAACTCTATTTCCACTGCTATGGTCTCCAGGCAAGCATAACTCAGTAAGTAAAGGAGATTTTGATCTGCCTCTTTAGTATAGCAGGCAATTCATCAGTCTCATAAATAAAAGAGATTTTGAATCACCAAGTCATTAATAAGAGCATTGGATAATAATATAATATACATTTTCCTTTTCTGAGGCTTATAAATTCTGTAACTGCTGGTAGCCTAGGATCAGGGTCAGGTCACACTCCTACAGAATGGCCATCCCCAGGAAGTCTCCCTCTCTTGAGTACTAAGGGTTGGGGACCACTCACTTGCACAGACCCCAATAGTGGTTACCCTTTGAGATGCTTGGAATTCCTCAGGATGGTGAGTCCTGTTGGTAGAGCAGGATGCACCCTAGGGTGTAGCTGTCTAATTGGTGAAAGTGCTTAACTTTTGTGAGCCTAAGTTCTTGTACCTGTGAAATCAGAATTATAATAGCACATCATTGTGACCATGATAAGGTGAAGAGCTACTTTTAGGGAAAAGTGAGTGAGCTGATATACCTAATATTGGAGCTTTATAATGAATTAAGTAAAGTTTAAGTTGAAATTCTCCTCACCCCAGACCCCACATCTCTATCCCATACCCTTTCAGAGTTACCTCCTACCTACTCCTCCTTCCCAGTGGCTTCCACTGAAACATTTCCTCCTTGGAGAATTAGAAAAATGGGTTTTCAGTATAATGTATTAATCAAACATGGTACTTGCTGCCTCTCGATACACATGATTGATTCCGAGTTAATAGATATGAGTGGTGCCTTATACCAGTCCAGGGCCTGTTTGCCCAAAGCTGAACCCATCCTTGACCTTCCAGTTGATGTTACATTGCAAGGAGCTGATCTCTGCAAGGTGATGTCCTTGCAACCAGGAACTCTCCCAATTGTCTCCAGCTCCTGCCAAAGACACCCATGGTGGCTCCAGTTCTAGGTTACCCCAACTCTAGAGTTCTGAGAATGCCACCCCATCTTTCTCTTCCTTCAGTCTGTGAAAGTAGTGTCTCTTTGTTGTTTTTCTAAATTATCTCACTTCTTAAACATTTTTTCCATCACTCAACCAACAACTTCTCTGGTCATCCCCCACTGTGAATAATTAAATGGTTTCTAATCTCCTGCTTGGAGCTTTTTGGAAGTAGGGACATACGAACTTGAAGTTAATAGCCCCACACTTTTCTGTGTCGCACCATTCACTAGTCATACGGCCAATTTTTATGAACCTCAGTTTGCTCATTTGTTACAAGGACTAACGGAACCATTCTGCCTCTCTCAGGAGATCATTGAGAGCACCCAATGGGGCCATTCACTCATCCAACTATCTAAATACTCACTGAGTGCCTGCTGTGTGCTGTAAGGCTGTAAGGGATAAAACACAGAACAAGGCAGTCAATGCCCCCTCTTAAGAAGCTCAAGTTAGTGCCAGCAAATGTGCTTAGAAACTGAAGAGTACTGTAAAAGTCTACAAGGAAAAGCTGTTTGCTCTCCTTAACCCTATGAGGCCCTAGGATGCCCATACCTCTCTATCCCACTGACTGTGAACCCCATCTCTGAGCTGGAGTATAATGGGGGGGTAACGTATGCAATGGCAAGCGCACAGTGACCCGGGTAGCAGACTGGGGTCCTCACTAGACCCAACCAAGATGTTCCCTAGTGTGCATAAATTAGCATGTCAGAATTGACATTAATTAATTGCAAAGGATTATCCAGCTTGTTCTGATGTACCATTTAAAGTTATTTTAATTTGGTGTTATTGGAAGCAGCCATGCTATTGATTAAAGCCCGAACATCTTGTTGTTTATGTCTAGACTGTGTTTGAAAAGGCATTCTCGGTAACATGATTTTTAGTTATTGATGACCCCTTTTCTGATGATCCAGTCCTCAGTTTAATGAGAGTATTGATAACAATACACTGCCGACATTCTGTCTGCATCAGTGCTCTAAGAGACAAACATAAAGTAGTTTGTGTTCATGGGGAAATGGGTAAACTTTCCATGGTTTTTAAACAAGCATGGTAAGGAAGCATATTGATTCAGACTCCATGACCTTATGGTCTGGGCACTGATATCAGTCTCCCATATTATCCCATGAAGCAGGTATTTCCATCCCCATAGTCATGATGAAATCACTAAGATTTAGGAGCCGGGGATACACCTGCTCAGGTAATGGTGAAATCATAATCAAAATAGAAAGTAGAAAATGGGTCCTTTTTCAGATTCATTGCCTCTCTGTGCCTCAGTTTCCTCATCTATAAACAACGTATAACTGTGAGAAAGTGGCAGAGTACCTAATGGGTGACAGTTCTACAGAAGACAACTACTGACCCCTCCTTCCACAGCTTCTCATCTACCACTTCCTGCTGTTTGTTCTCTCTGCAGATGACCACTCCCGGGTGAGGCTGTTGGTGCTGGATGGAGACCCCCACTCTGACTACATCAATGCCAACTACATCGATGTGAGTATCTTGATTGGGCTAAGTAGCTATGGGCTAGAGTTAACTGTCCAGACTCGAGATCCAGTTGAGAGGCTCTTAAACTGTCCACCAGAAAGTAGCTGGAACATGTCCAGAACTGTGTGTCATTTCCCTAGTTTGCATGGCACAAGTTGATCATTCACCAGAGCTACAGCTGCTTTCAAGCAGACTCGAGTTGTCTGTTCGTTACAGCTCTAGGGAAACTGCTGATCTTATTCATTCAATCCATGCATTAATGTGTCTGTGTCTGTCTACTCAATCGTCCATTTGAAGGTCCAACTATTGAGGCAACAAAATGTTTACGATATTCACTATGTGCTGGATATTATGAGGCCCATAAAACTAAAAATGTCAGGGTCTCCACCCTCAAAAACATCAGAAGAGAGAAGCTGTGCACATCTGTGGTAAACTAGGGTAAACTAGAGCTTGCTGACTATTATAGGTTCAGATAAAATACCTTCAGGATTCAGGGATGGGAAGCATATTACTTCTTCAATCAGAGATGCAGAAAATTGTGTGAGTCAAAGCTTCAGGTGCAAGTGAAATTCAAACTCAAAGTGAGAGAGGCTGTGCCTTTGGTTAGGGAACTGCTCTTGCCAAGAGGAAGGAGCTTGGAAAGAAAAATGACATATCATCTCTGTCTGAGGGCAGTGGGAACAGGATAATGGTAGTAATGGAAAATAAGGTTGGCCCTGGATCCTTGATGACTTAGGAGGTTGAACCCTGAAGGAAAGAGAAAGCTGTTGAAGGTGTTTGAATATGGGCGGTCCCATTCAGCACTGAGCTCTGCACTTCTTCTGCTCCTGGAGGAAAGGGAAAGCCCAGAAAAGAGAGCCTGGAATTAATACAGCCAAGTAGGAGGGAGGCTGCCACCACATTTCAGACACTGCTGAGAAAAGGACTTGGTTCAAAGAGGAGCCAAGAACGGCGTGCACAGAAGTGAAAGACTCTACAAAGGAGGAAGTATGGCCACTATTGCCAAGTGGATAGCCCAGCATCACTGACCCATGCTGACTTCTCAAGGACTCAGCTCAGAGCCCAGAGGCCTTGAAGAATGACTCAGTTTCCCACTGATCCTTCAGATGCTTGAGTGTATTGATAGACCAGCTATGAAATACAATAGCATGTTTCATGAATTTTTTATAACATAGCCTGAGCAGTAGATTCATTAATTCAACAAACATTTTTTGAGCTTTGAACCTGATAACTACTTCACACTTTAGACTGGGTGAACACTCAGCCAGCAGATGCCAATCCAGGCTAGATTGGTTCCTTCCTTTTCTCCTCTCCCTTGATTATGGCTAGGTAGATGTTACTGTCCTAAGGGAGAGCACCCACATAGAAGCTTACAAGCCTGAGTTGCTGGAGCTATCTGGCCTTTATTATGTGAATGGAAATACCCAGCAAAATCACATTCCTAGATATCCACTCAGCCCAGCATGGCCTTTTGTCTGTTTGCCCCCAGTTATTCCTTGACACTCTCTGCTCTCTTTTGCTTTGTAGATGGTAGTGGTTGTGCACTTGTGAGCATGGGTATAGTGTTCATGGAAGGAGGAAAGAGGGATTGATAGGACCCCCAAGGATGACAGAAAGAGAGCAACTAGGGTGTCTCTGCTCTCTTCCTGCCTGGGTAGAAGTTCTTCCATGACAACCTTTCATCTGCATCTCCAGTTTTCCTCGGTTTGAGTTCTAGTTCCTTCCAGGCCATCTCAGATCCCCATTTCTTATGATTTCTGTCTTCCATTGTTCTTCTAGGACAGTGTCCTCAACCTATGGGTCTTGACCCCTTTGGGGGGTCAAATGACTCACATGGGTCTCCTAAGGCCATCAGAAAACACAGATATTTATACTACAATTCATAACAGTAGCAAAATTACAGTTATGAAGTAGCAACAGAAATGATTTTATGGCTGGGGGTCACCCAAACATCAGGACCTATATTGAAGGGTCACAGCATAAGAAGGTAAAGAACCACTGAGCTACGGGCTCTATGGGCTGCTGAGCATGATGGCACAGAGGAACCATGGGTCAGCCTCAAGATCAGCAGCCCATAGAACACGTCAAGTCAGTTCTCCATGTTGAAGCCCCCACGATCCATGATGCTCAGAGTGGTTTCCACTTTCCTACCTGACCCTGCCTAACAAAGGACCTGCTGTGTGACCAAGACCTGGGGCTAGAGCCTCAGTGGAGATAAATAAGGAAGTCTCTGTGTCTATAGCCCTCCAGATGACTTCACAGGGGGCAATCCAATTCTGAGCAGCTCGTCTCCAGCAAGGGCAGGTTGCTCTAAGCATCCACTGGCCATGTCATTAGCTTTCCACTCTGGTAGTCATCTCACAAACACCAAGCAGAAGTCCCACCATGTGCTAGAAATACTGACCTATCAGGCAAGGATTCTGTCTGGTAAGAGGGGTCAGATGAGAAAAGAGACTTTTCCCAGAACAGGGGCTGTCAGACTGAAGCCTCAAGAGGGAGTCCGATGGAAGCTTGAAGGAGATGCCATCTCAGTCCTGCCTTAGAAAGTGACAAAGAACCAACCAGATAAGAAAGGGTTGTAGTAACATGAGAATGAGTGATCACTTCTCATGTACCAGCAGGTCACCTTAAGTAGTACCTCAGCCTAGCTAGATGAATACCTCTAGGACCCATAGCCAGATGAGTAAGCTAGGACTCTCAAGGTTATGAAATGTACCCAGAGTCCCACCCAAGGAAGTAAGAGGGGGGGACCTAGACTTTGAATCAAGAGTGCCAAACTCTGTTTCCTCCAGTAATAAAAAGCAGTGATGATGGTAGTAGGTTCTTAATGGGTCCCTCCTGGCCCTACGATGTATGCTTGAAGCGAGTCAATTTACTAAGACTTCTTGGTAATGCTTCAAGGTGGTTCTTATCACTCCCACTTTGCAGATGGGGAAACTGAGACTTGAAGAAATTGAAAAACTGGTCCAATGTCATAGAGATGTGGCACAACCTGGGTATGAACCACAACTGAATGTCCCTGGCCAGAACTCTTTCTCCTGGTCCTTCATCTACTCCTAAGGCCATCCACAGTGTGCATCTAGCAGACACTCATCCAGCACTTACTGATAGGGGCTGGACTAGTTTCCTTCTTTCCTTCCACATCTTGACTGTTGGTCAGGTGGCTATGACAGTCATAAGGATCTAGCAAATACATAGTCTTGTGTGCCCAGGTTGACATATTTATCTGGCGTTTAATATCTAAATGGAAACCCCGTTGGAATGATTTTCCCAGCTACTTATTCAGTCTGCACTAGAGTGAATGTCTGAGTCCATGTAGAACCGAGCAATCTGCGTGTAATACAGACAGCAAATGAAACTGCTTTAAATGCAAGTGGCTCTATACAGTGCCAGCACTAATCAGCGCTGTCCTGTTCTGTCATTACAAAGTCTTTTGCAAGCCTCTAAAAGACAGGAAACCAGGGATTGAGGCTACGAGCACTGCCCTGGGTCACATAGCTAGACTTTAATTCTCTGCAGAGCTGGAACACAGAAGAGCCCCCTCCCTTTCTGTGTAAGAAGTAGACTATGCAGACAGGCCAAATGTCCCTACCGCATGCTGTCCTAATGGGCAATGTCAGGCCCTGAGCTGCATCTCAGTGATTAGTATCAGGACTAATGAGACTGCAGCCATGAATCCCACCCTTGTTGGGCCTGTTGTTGATGGCTACCTTTGTAACTCAGGGTAACTGGCGTAGAGTATCAGGGTTCTAAGAGGAAACAAGCTGGCTCACAGGTCTTAACCAGGTAGAGTTTAACAAGTGCCTTAGTAATCCTGAGATGGACTAACCAACCTGATTGTGTGAAGTAGCCTGTAGCTAGAGAAAGCAAAGCAGTCAAGTTCAGTGGCTGGGTAAGAGGACGGGTACAAAAGTAATAGAATTACTGTAAGGAGAGGGCTGTCTTGCTCTTGCCAGGGAGAAGCTAACCCCTGCTAATGAAGCAAGGAAGAACCTAGAAGGGCATATGCCCCAACTTCCCACTGGCATCTTAGCTTTCCCTTCCCCTCCTACTTAGAAAATGCCCTCTGAACACCTTAGGACATGGGAGCCTGCACTGTGGTTTATTTTGTCCCCTCCCGTTGCTACAGGGCAGAGTGTGGAAAAGACAATGGGGAAAGAGGCAGAGGCGAGACAAAAAGACACCAAACATAAAAGCACCCTCTTATGTTTATCATGATGGGGCAGGCAGCAGGATAATCACAATTGTGAGCCTACCTGAGATCCCCATAGAACTATACTCTGTAGTCTCCTGGGGATCTCTGAAAACCAACAATGGAGTGGGGGGAGCTATCTAGTCTTCACCACTTTGTCCTGGTCTTCGGCTCAGCCCAAAGACAAGAGCTAGCCATCCAAGTTAGAGGACCTTCTCTATAATTGAATCTTGACAATTCATTAGAATGACTCTATTTGGATAATGAGCTGGATGAGGTCAACCTTGCCCGAGCCTCTGGAGGCCGTGCTATGCTGCTCTCTGAACCAGCCCACTGGCCTGTTTGTTTGCACACCCGAAAATGTATTAGCCACTTGAATCTGTTATAAATTACCAGCCTGGAAATAAATATCATATCTGGGTCCCCAGTAAGTAACAGATGCAGGAGCGCAGAGTGAGATAAATGTGTTTTGGATGCAAACCTCTTTCCCATTGCTCACAGACAGATGGAGGCAGGCCCAGTGCTGGTTTGCAGTCAGTCTGTGTAGGTGGGACTTAAATGAACTGGGAGTTCTTTTAAGGTTAAGAAGTTTTCTTCACTAGCTCTTGGCAAATCCCCAGAGGAGATCCAATTGAGCAACACATTTCCTTTTATCTCCATTGCTAAGGAATCGCTCTCATGGTTTAAATTTTTCCTCTTTGGGAACTCTATGAGTTTCTTGAGTCTAGATCAGGTCTTTTTGCTCAGATGCGGCATGGGGGCAGGCATGTGGCACACGTGCATTCACTGGGTCCCCAGGGGTTTGCTGGCCAGGCAGTCTAGTCAAGTCAACAATCTCCAGGTTCACTGAAAAGACTGATTCACAAAGACATCTGACATCAACTTCTGGCCTTCACACATATTTACACACATGCACTCACACCTCCATACATATGTGCATGCATATACGAACACGTGCACACAAAATGGAAGAACAAAAATAAGTCAGGGGTAGGGGAGGGAAACAGACAGTGGCCTGGTGCTAAGTCTTCTGGACAGAAATGTGACCACTACTTCTGAAGAAGAGTTCTAAGTCCATGGGCAGTGGGGACATTAGTGGGGAGACTAGACAGACTGCCAATGGCATGAGGTGGGATTTCAGGAATGTCAGGAGACCCAGACTAGAAGCTAATTAAACCACCACCTCATCAAGAGAACATTCCTCTGGTCTATAGCTGAGTCAGTTCCCATGCGTGCTCTACGGAGCCCCCCCCATCTTCCCTTGGAGTTTCATAACCCAGCTTGTAGATGTCTATGAGCTTCTCCAAAGCAGAACCTACATCTGGCTGGCTCACTGTTGGGTTTCCATGCATTGTACATAGTAGAATGTGCCCCTTTGATGCTTGCTGATCAAATCTGAAATGATTGTATAAACAAATAAAAGCACAAAATAGAGCCTCGGCAGGCCAACCTCACATTTGATATGTGAATTTCTTGCCCAGATTTTTCTCCCATTAACTTTCAAGTATGTTTGAAATCTTTCAAACCAGTTTATTCCAGGGTCTTTGCCAATTCAAAACCAGACCTATACATGCATTCCACTGACCAACCTGTGCAGAAAGCTGCACCTTGCTCCAGGTGGTGTGTCTCATGACCCAGGAGAAGAAAAGGGTAAAAGTTCTTAGTGCGGCTGTTCTTGTTCCTGCATTCACTGAAGCCCTGTGGAATCTCTCAAAAGAAAGGAGACTCATGAGGAAGGAGTTATCTCTGTATCACAGAAGAGGCCATGTCTAAAGTCCTGGGTAGTGAGGCTGGAACACAAGATGAGTGTATTGACTCATCTCATGAGTAGACACAGCGAGAGAGCTGGGGAGAAAAAGTTCAAGATGAGGATGCTATCGTGTAGTTACTATAAGATGAAGCATTTAGACATTGCCATGCAAGTAATGTAGAGTCACTGCAGACTCAAATAGAAACAAAAACCTGACAAACTTGGGTGTATTCTGAGAAGCCCATTGCTTCAGGAAGTTTATGAGCTTCAAGAGTAAAAATGGGTTCTTGGAGGACACCAGGAGGTTGAAGCTATGGCCCAGGCCAGGGAAGACTTTGAGACCAGCTGATGAGGGAGATGGCAGAAGAGAGTAGACATAAGAAAGCTCATCATTCTGGGCTCCAGGGAGCTATTTTCTGCTCCCAAACCTACTCAAAAGACCCCAGAATCTAAGTCTTCTATCCAGCCTGCGTAGCCCTGTCCATCTTGCCTTGGAATTACAGATCTGCCTTTCCATCCCTTTGCTTGTGGAGGAGGGCTCAGCTACTAACGTGCGAGGACTCACCTATGCAGCAACCGCTGAAGGTCCAGTATACACTCTTAATCATCAAAGGGTCTCAATAAATATTTGCTAAATGAGCAATTATATAATTATAATAGCAAAGACACACATGTAAAATTTTAGAATTGTATCCAGTATGAATTATAGGAACTATCATATATTAACTTATCTGATCTCATTTAATATACTTTAAACAGTCTGATGTCCATTTTATAGATATAATTGAGACCCAAGGAAGTTATATAACTTATCCTAAATGGCCCAGCCTAGAAGGGGAAGAGCCAAAATTCAAAACTAGACAATTGAGTTGGTCTATGGTAAATATAATCCACATGCTATGCCGTCTTTCTGGTTGGTTGGTCGTAGCTTGCTCCTTTGGTATTTCCTCTGAGTCTGGTAGTATATACGGTCTATGAGGAATAGCTTCTACAGGAGTCAGTTGTTCCAGCTGCCTGTCCTCATCAAGTATAAGGACCACCTACAGTAGTCATACATGGTGCATGGTTAATCTAGCCATGTAATCCAGGCATCTTCATTGCTAGAACCAAGTACCTGGGTAAGACCACTTAAAGAAGGAAATGTTTATTTTGGCTCATGGTTTCCGAGGTGTCAATCAATCTATCCTAACAAGAGGGTGTTGTAGCATGATTAACAAAAACCCAGAGACAGATATTGGAGTTCAACCTAAAGAGTCAAAAAGCAAAACAGCCAGTCACTGGCTCTTACCTCGACCTCAGTCTGAAATGCCAATCCTGCCTCCAGGAGAATGTGGCAGAGCCCAACCGTCTGCATCACAACTAGGAAGCAGGAAAAGGGGGTCCTAGGAGTAGCACAAGGACCTCCAAGGTCACGCTCTCACTTCTACCAACAAGGCCTTCTATTTCCCCTTTTCCTGATAATACCATCACACACGAGTCTATCAGGAGTTAGTCCACTCCATGGGTCAGAGCCTTCATGACCTAGTGGTCCCTAGAGAGACTGACTTAGGGGAGTCTTGTCATTAATCTTCTAAGCATTTCTCACTCCAGCCAAGCTGATAGTGAAGATTAACTGTTGTACAGAGAGTTTCTGATCATGATGTTAGTCTGGGGTCAGTGATGACAGGTACTCCAGATAAAGTATGAACAGAAATTAGGGGAAGCCTGCTAAATATTTGTCAGATGAGTAAACTAGTCAGGTTCACAAACACATAGGAGACTAATACACTAATCTAAGTCATCTGGTAGATCCAGGACTTCAGAATTGCTGCCAAATCTACAGAGACGGCAATTCTTGGCTTCCTTCTTTAAGACTTGAGACATCTCATCTTCTCTAACACTGTTTTACAATGTTTAAAACTGAGACAGCGGTTCACCAAACTTTAGGACTCACATTCTCCGGGGACAGTTAATGCTAAATGTGAAGTGAATCCCAGGATCATCAGCAATGATTCATTTGATTGAAGACTGTGGTGATGACTCTGCCTGCAAAGTCCCTGCTGCACAATCATTCGGACCGAGCATCAACCCCTAGCCTGCCCACAAAACCTGGGCACATAGTGATCATCTATGATCCTAGCACTGAGGTGGGAGAGGGGAATCGAAAAGAGGGTACCCAGAGCTCACTGGATAAGAACTTAACTAAATCAGTGAGATCTAGACTGAGTCAAGATCATTTCAAAAGAAAAATAAACCAAAGAGCTATTGAGGAAGTCACCAAAGACTGCCTTTCACCTTCACATGTACGCGTACACATACTCACACTTTCATGCAAACATGTCCATATAGTTTGATACACCAGGTACAAATTTAACAATGTGTCTATCATCCATCCATTTAATCACTAACTGCTAATCATATTTGATAATCTATATTAAACTTAAACTTTCATTCAATGCAATACTGTTTTTACTCAATCTGATACACTGTTCCTCTGTAACAAAGGAGGCCGGTCCTCCATCCATTCCACTCCCAAGTCAAAGACAGTGCCATCTACAACCTCTTTCCTCATGACTTGGATGCTATGAGTTAGTTCCATGCTAGGGAGCACATCATAGCACAGGCTTATGGGAGCACTCTGAAGGGACCAGGGTAATCACAAATTGGTCTTTGGATTAGCAAATAGCTCTTGCCTCTCTGAGTTCACACTTCCACATGGTCCTCTCTGCACCCAAAACTTTTCTATTGCCAGAGAGAAGCAAGGTGACATCCTTCCCATCTCCTTTCTCTGACTGTGAACAATGCATTCTCCGTTTCCTCCTCCGGGTGCCCCAGTACGCTTAGTATTGGGATCTGCATATGATTATGAGTCAGGAAAAGCTGGTTGGTGGTTGGTGCCCACCATAAACCTGAAGTGCCTTCTTTCCCTATTTTGGGTATAAGGAACGCCTATGGCAAACATGTATGGGTCCCTCACAGGTAGATAACACAATAATGCTACAAGGCTACAGAGTCTGCATGTATGGTCTTGATGTAGTCTTCACTGCTTCTCTGAGATGCTATTCCCTGTGGAATGGATGCTTAAAAGAAATCCCACACTAGCTCAAAACTGAGAAATAGATGGTTATTTATTTAGGGTTAAACTCACAAATCAGAATCCTCTGCTGGACCAGAGACCAGAAACCGAAATCTGCAACCGTAACAGAGAGGCCGGGGAAGAAGGGGCTGACGCAGGCTCTGCATCAGCATATATAGTATAAGAGGCCTCACCCCAGTAGGTGGGTAACCACACGCTCTAGGGCTTCCTACAGCAATTCCCATTTTGCCTATGAGAACACCAGGTAACTAGAAAGAGATGTGTCTTAATATTGTGCTGTTTCTAAGCTTTGAATGGAAACCTTTGGTTGTGTTTTCTTCCTATTTTCCAGGGGTACCACCGCCCCCGGCACTACATTGCAACCCAAGGTAAGTGTCTTGGAGTGACCTCAAGGTTACCTAGGAAGAGGGATTTTTTTTTTTTAAATCAGGGTAAGCCTTATTATCTACTCTTCCTCTCTCTGTTATTCCAACGCTCTTTGTCCACTAAATGGCCTGGCTTCTCCTGAAGGAAGGGGATTAACTTTTGCAGACAGGGAAGCCAGAGAGACAGGGCAGCAAAGCCTCCACCAGTCCTTGAAGAGCAAGGAGATGACAGGTTTGACCAAGACTTTCAGCAGAAATGGTTGTCACTAGGAAATATTATTCAAAGGGAAGGGACCATGTGGGGGGTGGCCAGAGAAAAGCCTCAGTGGGTACCCAAGAGACATACCCATCCCTCCAGTGAGTGCAAGTCCTCAAGAGAGTCGCAGCCAATTGCCCTGGGAAGCAGTGTGGCAGTATGCTATCAAAGGCTTCAAAATGAGGACGCCTTTTACAGCCTCCTGGGGAAAGCCCTGCAGATAATTATATGTGTGGACCTTGACATCTATCAAAAGCATTCTTCACCATGTTATCTGCGATAGGAAAAAGTGAAAAATCCTAAATGCCCAATAACACACAGGTTGTTAAATAACATAAGGCGTCTCCGTGTCGTAGGAAGCGCTGTAGCTTCGAAATAAATCATTTTTGATGATATGAGAATATACTTATAATAAACCTGGTGCTTATTGCACAAAATGTATGTGTACAAACAAAACACAGAAAAACACTATTCAAATTCTCTTTCAAATGCATGAATTGCTTTTGTAATTTTAAAATTGATAAAGACCCAGGATATTAAGAATTGTTTCCTAGGAAATTGCTTTGGACTGTCAGATCCTATCTCCTAGTCTTTGGTTTTTCTGCCCCTTTCCTTTTTTTCTTTCTTTTGTATTTTCTGTGCTTTAATCCTCTCCTTCCTGGTCAAACTTCAGATTATTGTCTCCGACATTTGTCAAATTCAGAACTCTGGACCCTCTTGTTTTTGGCAGCTCTACCCTCCCTACCTTAGTTCCCTTGCTATCTCTCATTGAGATCCCACTGTCCAATTTCTGGAACTCCCGCCCCTCGGACATGATCTAAACTATAGTCCAGATAAAGTAGTGGATCAGGAAAAAATGGAGCTGCTGGACTGAGCACGAGGGTGAGGCAAGGGTGGGGAGGAAGCTGCAGACCACAGATACCGGAAAAGTGGGGTATTTTTCCTTATCTGTGCTCTGCTCTGGTCCCAACAGATTCACACCTCCAGCCTCAGTCTCAGCTACTTGGTGTCCTGCGTAGGTCCCCCGGCTTCACTCTGACCTACCTAGGTTGAACCCTGATGAAACAGCTGAGAGACAAACCACTCAGCATCCTCTTTGCACCCACAGCCTCTAACCCCACCGCCTCTTCTGTTGCCAGGTCCAATGCAAGAGACTGTGAAGGACTTTTGGAGAATGATCTGGCAGGAAAACTCTGCTAGCATCGTCATGGTCACAAACCTTGTGGAAGTGGGCAGGGTAAGCGTCTCCTTCAGTCGTGTGGGCAGAGGGTGGTGGAGATACACCCTGGGATGCCTGCTGCCTGCACTGTGCCACCAGCTTCCTTAGCAGTACCACCTCTTTACGGCAGACTATAGGGATGGGAGATACCTTACTCCTAGTTCACATCTGAGCAGGGTTCTACTCCTTCAAGTCTCCCATCCCATCTCTATCTTCTCTCTCCACCGATAATGTCATCTCGTGCATTTTGAGGAAATTAAAGCCACCAGATAGGAACTCTCTCACCAACACATCCCAAACCTATAACCTTATTCGTATCTGAGGCATATTCACAACCTGCTCTCAGGTTTAGCCATGAGAAAGGGCTGTTTCTAAATTGATTCCAAAAGGTTGAATATAGGCCGTTTGTTATGACCAAGCCCAATGCGACAAACACTAAGTTTCTGCCCCTGATGGGTGACCCTCTGAGATGTTACTACAAGCCTTTGTTCACCTCCCTTCCTCATCTTTTAGCCCAACATTCTTTTCCCGTTAAAGAACCTGGCCTTGCCTAAAGGAAGAGAATGAACTTGTACTAGCAAAGAAGCCAGAGGGACAGAATAGGAAAGCAACCAGGAGTCCCCGAGAAGCAAGGAAGTGACATATTCAGCTTTGAAGTGGGGCTGCAGAGACCAGTCACTGGGATATACTGTTAGGAGGGAAGGAACCAGACAGGGCAGATCAGATGTATTAATATCCTCAGGTGCAACCCAACAAGGCTCAGAGATTTTCTCATATTCCTTTGCATTTGAAATAGAAGACTCTTCCTCGTTGCTGAATTATTTCACCTCAGCATGGGAATATGCTCAGTAATTTCCATCTCAGAGGGACAAAATCCACCACCAAATGAGTCACAATACAAAAACTAAAACCATGAGCCTGCTAAAGGGAGGGGCGGGCTGGGGAGGACTGATAGCAGTAATAGAAAGGCAGGGGAGGAAGAGTAATCTGAATAAATCATATTTGTGTATAAAATTGTCAAATAGCAAAATTAATGAGTAAAAAACTATTGGAAACATTTTTAAAGCCAAACAAAGGTACCTTCCCTGTTCCCGTGTTTCTGCTGAATCTCAAGGACTCAGAGGCCTTGGGTCTCCTCTCGGTCCTCCTTTATTCACCTCAACATGGCAGGTCTCTCCATTCCACCAGTGAAACTGTCAGCATCACTGCCTTGGTGTTGACAAACCCAGGCTCCACATCTCTCTTCATCTGTCTTCGCCTCTCAGCAGCATCTCACCCTCTCCTGCCTGCCCTTCCTCCCCTGACTGTGATACCTCATCAGGGTTCAGGCCTCTGTCTCCCTCTCCGTTCTACCTAGACTGGGTCCTAGGTTGTCCTTAGCCAGAGCTTAGAAATGGGACCACTGTTTCCACCTTCGCCTCCGCCTCTTTGATTAACTGTGGCCTGCGGGTGGATGGGTGGGCTGCACTGGTGAAAGGCTGATGTACAACTATCTAGACTCAACGGACTCCCATCCTGTAGACAAACTACACAAGAGTGGTAGACAGGTCAGTTTTTATAGATAATCTGGATAAAGTGTCTTGGTCACAGAGGTGCAGAAGGAAAAGGCTGTCACGGTGTGCTGAAAGAGCATGGACCTTCATAGAGGATCAGGGCCAAGTGGGACTTTATCCTTGCGCTTTTACCTCTATCTGGCCCCATTCCCCCATTTTACAGATGAGGCATGGGTGCCAAGGGGTAAAGACCTGAACCAGTTAGCTCTCTCCTCACTCTTGACACTCATTCTAGTACTCGTAACCCCATTGTTCAGACTGCACCCACTGTTCAGACAGCTCCCGCTGTTCAGCTGCCTCCACCCAGGGACTGCAGCTCCAGAGGGAACCAAAGGAAACCCAGGGTTTGAGAATCCCAGCACATTCCATATTCTGAAACAAATTCTCCCTGTGATGGGGTGATGGACTGTGGATGGAACTGGGCTTGCAGCGGGGAGAAGTTTCTTAATGTAACTCCTGCTAGTGGCCAACTAACACACTACAGTATATTCACTCACAATGACTGTGCAAGGCAATGTTCTTGGTTATGACACAGACAGTTGGGCTTGGTCCTCACTCCATCCCTTACCAGCTGTTGACTTTGAACAGGTTCCTTGGCTTCCCCATGTTTAAATCCTCATCTGTAAAATGTGGGTGAGCATACCATCTAAGGCTACGGTGACATCAACACTTAGCAGGCAGTGCTAGACAAGGTAAGTATCGGCTCTCGTTAGCCATAGGAATCCAAGGCTTTCTATGAGGGTCTTAGCTCTGAAGTCTTAGAATCAGCATTATTCTGCAAATCCTGGTGCGCTCTCCGTGTTTCCCTAAGTGGGTTCCATGGGCTGCTGGTCTGCAGGCTGGCTAGTGAGCAGAGGGTTCCATGGTTAAATATGTTTGGGAAATGCTGTGTCCTCTGTCCCTGTTGGAGAGTCCTAAGATATTTAACATTAGTGCTTCTGAGGATCTAAGTCGTGTTGTAGCCAAGCAGCTTGTTTAACTTTGTTGAAACAGCATTTCCCAAACTCATTTGACCACAAAACCTTTTTGTGTTTGTTTTGTTTTGTTTGTTTCTTGTTTTTTTGTTTTTGTTTTATTTTTGTTTTGTTTTGTTTTGTTTACCTAACACCTATTAGCACCCAGCGGAACACACTGTGGGAAATGCCACGCTAGGCCGTGCGTCGTCCCCCGGAATGGTAATAACACTTTTGCTATTTTAAAGGGGGAAAACCATGATTTCTTTTGCTCTCTGTGGAACTTAGAGTCAAATGTGGGAACTGCTTGCTGGTAGCCTAGGTACCCACCGCTGGGGCAGAGAGCAGCGGCACATCTTCCCTTTGAGCTCAGGACTGTCTGTCTCTTCCCCAGCAAAGGGCCTTTCTCCTTCCAGTCCCCAGTGACCGCCTCTTTATAAGGACCCTCTCCTCAACCCGTCTGCTTCTACCTCCTCGCTGGTACTTCTCATCCTTGCTTAGAAAATAATGCTCAGCATCCCCATGCTGACACAGTAGGAAATGACCACGTCACCATATTATTCATCGGCTACGTGGGGATGATACATCTCCCGTCTTACCTAGTTCTTTCTCATGGCTTAGGGTAGCAATGCACTGGAAAACCACCAGGAGCTGTAAGAGAAGAAACTGCTGTCATTTTTAAAGGCCCCAGTGACTCTGGCAGTGAGTTAGGCCCGGTGTCATTTGCTGATCCCTGACCACTGAGCGCCCCATGGGCTGAAATGCCTCCAAAGTCACCCTTGGGTTTATTTGGATGGGAAAACCAAAGGAGTTGCCTTCTCATGGTTGGCACTGTTTATGCACTCTCTTCCCTATCCTTTCCCTGTCTCTCACTTGGCCACAGGTAAAGTGTGTGCGATACTGGCCAGATGACACAGAGGTCTATGGAGACATTAAAGTCACCCTAATTGAAACAGAGCCCCTGGCAGAATATGTCATCCGCACCTTCACCGTCCAGAAGGTAAGATTCCCTTTCTTTAATACTCCCTCTTCCAAGTCAGTTGATGGGGTTACTCATCCAGACAGTGGAGACCAAGGGTCCGATTCGTACCCAACCACACACCCAACATGATAAACAGAACGATAATCAGAGTTGATATGGCCATGTAATGGGTTCATCAATTAAAGAGAGAAACAGACGTCAACAGACTATGTACTAGACTAAGGAATATATTGTGATAAGAGCCATAAGGGACCAAAGGATGGAGAAGCATCATTACATAAAGAAGCACCATTACATACCCCTAGAGCTAAAGTAGCTTGTAAAGGGCAGAACATTGGGGGTGGGGGTGAAAAGGTTTCAGTCAAGGAAAGCAGAGGAGGAATAATATCCTTGGCCAAGGGTCAAGAACATAGCGTGGTGGGCAAAAAGAAGCCAGCATTTCCCAGACTGAGAGTTTAGTCTGGGCTAGATTTCAACCAGGGGCAGTTTGGTATTCTGGTGGGTATCTGTTCCTGTCTGAAGACATTGGAATATCACAATTTGGGAGAGGGTATTTTGTTACTGACACCTAGTGGGTGGAGGCCAGCAGTGCCACTAGAGAATCCACAACACACAGGATAAAGAATTATCCAGCCAAGCATGCCACATCCAGGAGTATCTAGGTTGAGAGATACCAGTCCATCCATTTGTACTCTTTCTGATATAGATATACTAATGAGGGCTAACCTCCAGGGTGGGTCAGTGCTTGCCATTTAAGGATATACATCCAGGAAAAGGAACAACCAGAAGGCAACAACCACCAATACTGTGCAGTCAAGGCCCCATGAAGAGAGTCTGAATGGACACCAATTTTGTCTAGTAATGTTAAGAGAATCTCTTAATATTAAGAGAATGCCTGCAAGGCATGTTGAAGGAGTGATGTCTTTTCTTAGCTGTTTTCTTTAATCTTTCCTTAACAATCATAAAGAGAGGCATTACTTACAGAAATTTCACTTATGAGACCCCACAAATCTCTAGGGATTAACGCCACAGCTTCCCCATGGTATATGTACAGGCAATCAGCAAATTGCGTCAACAGCTTTAACTCAACATCAGTTCCTGAACTGGAAACCCAGGAACAGCTAATGAAAGTGTCCTTTGCCCCTGGAGTAAGCACAGCTCCCCGAGGGACAGCCTAGCACAAGTGGGCAGGGTGCACACCAGTGTTGGAGGCGTCCTGCCTCTCCTCCCCATTCCTGATTCAGCCAGGCTTTTGTCCCCTCCCTCCTAGCCTTACTCTGCCTCTCATCTTGCTCCATCTTAGTTTGGATTTCCTAAAAGCAGAGCTCAAAGCAACAAGAATTTGAATGAATTGTGTATGGAGAGGGAGCTTGCAGGAGGGATGGGATGCAGGACCTTAGTAGGCATCACGCTTCAGCCAGACTCCACAGGGTACTGGAGCAGGAATCTCTCCACAGGTATAGGGCATGCTTACTGGGTCCCTACAAGGGTACCAGTCATTCTGGCTTGCCCAGAACTGGCTGGATTTAGCACTAGAGGCCCATGTCCTACAAAAGCTCCCCCCCCATTCTGGGAACACTGGACTATTGGCTAAGTCAGTTAATACCTCAATCCTTCTGTCAGGTGGAGAAGGCTAGCTGTCCCTAGCCAACCCAGGGATGGGATGCAGGTCCAGCTGAGGGTTGTCCTCAGAAGAAGGGGAGCATGAGCTGTCTCCAAACAAAACACATCAGAACCAAGATTGGCTGGACAGCAACACACACCCTGAACCTTTCCTCTGCAGGGCAGTCTGTAGGGAGACTTGATATCATGGTGCCCTTGAGTTAAAGCCAGGACACTGCTCTGTGTCCTCAATGGAGTAGGAAGTTCATACACACATCAGCTTCATAACGATGAAGAGTGCAGGTGGTGGGGACATAGGAGCAATGTGTAAAGCATCCCCCTACATTCTAAACCTTGTGTGGCTTCACTTTCCTGTTCTGAAACATGGAGATAATGATAGGAGGCCAGATCTGTGACTAAATGAATAAATACATGTGTGTGTTCAAAAGAGTGATGGGGACACCACCAACACTTAATATAAATGGCAGCTTTTATTTTCACTACTGCATTCCCAGACCAGAGTCAAGGAGGCTTCTTCTAAGAAGCCTTCCCAGATTTCTCCTCCCCTCTAATCTTGTTAGATCATTCCTTTGTACACTCTGGTCAGATTATCCACATAAGAGTCTCCCTCTTCCTCACTCAGTGGGGCCATGAACTATTCCAGGGGCAGGAGCTGTGGCTTAAATCATCCCTTCCTAGTGCCTAGCGCATGTCCAGGAAAAGATGGCCCTGGGTGAGTATCACTTAACTTGAGATGAACAATGAAGTTGATGTTTCTTAGCACCAGCTAGGAATTGCTCTGAATGTCTGCAAGACATGCAAGCAAAGTTCTCATACACATAAAAATAAATAAGTTAATTAATTTTTAAAAGGTTCTTCAAGAAATGGCTGGTTTTACATTTCCAGAAGTAACTGAGCTCCTGTGAGCTAACACCCACGATCCCAGCGAGGGCCTCATTTCCCCATGCAGCAGAGAGGATCATTCCTCAGTACCACATCCCTACTCCCCCATGGAGCTAGGGGGGCACGTGAGGGCAGCAGTGGAGGAACAGAGTCCCATTCTCTCCTCAGAAAGGCTACCATGAGATCCGGGAGCTACGCCTCTTCCACTTCACCAGCTGGCCTGACCATGGTGTTCCCTGCTACGCCACCGGCCTTCTGGGCTTCGTCCGCCAGGTCAAGTTCCTCAACCCCCCAGAAGCCGGGCCCATAGTGGTCCACTGCAGGTGAGTCAGGCCCCCATCCCCATTCTACAATTAACTTAGCTCTGGATGTGTTCTCCACACTGTCCCGTGGCTTTTGTTCTTGCTTTAAGACTCCTCCTCCTATGACCCAGAGCCCAGTCACCTTCTGAGAAGACCCGGGTCCCTAGTGATGCTAGAGGTTATGTTACCATTATGAATGTTGCCCCAGGGACATAGCTGGACTCAGCAGCACCTGCCATGCCTGCTATGTAGATCTGGCCAAATTATTTCACTTCCCACCCAAGCTCTTATTCCCATTTCACATATGGGGAAACTGAGGCACGGAGATGAGAAAGAGGTGGGAAATGTCAAGGCTGGGACGGTTGGCATGTTCTCTGGGGCTTCTTAGCTGCACCTTGATGTGGGATATCTTGGTATAAGCATGCATCTCTTCGCTTCCACTATTTTTTAAAATCAATTGCTGGCCTGCAGGGTTCCTAATAGAGAGCAAGTGGTCAGCATCAGCTTCCCCTTATTACAGAGACGGGAAATTTTCAGCTTTGACCTAGAAAGTCACATTGAACATAAGTGGCATTGAATCCTCCTAAATGGAGATGAAGTATTGTGTCAAGGGCATTTAGAATTGGAGGAAGGTAGATGTCCAGACCTGAAGGCCAAGGAGTCTGTATTCCCCTCCTTCCCACGCCCCTCTATTTCAGTATGTCCTTGGGCATAGCATATCTTCTTATACCTTGAATGCTCAGGCCGTCTCATCCTTCCTGACAATGTCTGTGTCCGCCAAGAAGTCAGGGAAGACACTACGCACGTCTCAGACCCAGCTCCTCCCTGTGTGAAAAATCTCCCACACAGCATCCCTATGTGTTATCCACAGTCGTGGAGACACATCCACGCTTCATAGGTAGAAACCTCTGCACTGTCTGGGTGTTTGGCATAGATTTTCTGCTTTGCCTTTCATCGTAAGCAAAGAGGACAAGGTGCATTCATGCCAAAGCCTGATCTCCCCAACTGCAGGCAGAGTTCAGGAGAAAGAGAGGAAAGGAGACGATGGCAAATATTCACCAGACCCTCCACCACGTACAGTACTATCTGCGATGGTCTGTGCCTGCATCTCCATAGCGAGTCACTGCCTAGCATCTAAGCAGAGTGGTACCTGCTCCTGGAGCTGCTGTGGTTTGGCTAATGCACACTAAGTGCCTGAAAGAATCGCAAACATAATAAGCACTTAAATCTACCACTCCTGCTGCCTCTTAAGGTCATCCAGCACCCCAGGTGGGGTTAACAAATTCTTTCAGACAGGAAATGTGTCTTTCTCATCTTCTTATGCCTACTCTTAATCTTGGCATCCAGGGCATCCAGGACGCTCCGTAAATATTTGTGGATTACAAGTAGCCAGGCACAAAACTGAGCAATTTACATGCATTATACTTCTAAAATATAATTTAATGCAATTTACATATATTGTACTATTAATATTAAGAGGTATACGGCCACTTTTATTTTATGAATGAGAACAGTGAAACCCATAGAGATGAAGTCATTTGCCCAAGGTCACACAGCTAGTCAGTAACAGAGCCAAGATTTAATCTCAGGGATCTCAAATATCATGTGGCTAACTACTGTTTTATTCTAGGGAAAAAATACACACATACACACACACATCGACACACAAATACATACACACACACACACACACACACACACACATATACATACACATATACACACATCCACATATACACACATACACATATACATACAAATGAATACACACACACACAGAGCTCAGACTTTTCAAAAACTCCTCTAGGAGGCATGAACTGAGGCTCACAGACCCCAGACACCTTACTCTCTGATACTGTAGCCCTTACTCTCGAATATTGTAGCCTAGATTGAAAACTAGTGATGCTGCTTCATTCCCCTGAAATATGTTGAAGATGCAGCTTGGGGAACAGATGAATTAGTGTTTTGATTTTTTTCTATAGACCTCTTCCCAGGATCCTTAACCCATTCTATTGAGTCCCTTTTAAATGGGTCTGGAGTGCACTGGGGACAGGTATTTTGAGGCAAGAGTAAGGCAGGCTCCACTCAGTTCAAACCATGGTGGTTTATCACCAGTGAAGACTGCTCCCAAGGGTTTGGTTTCCAGATCACTAACATGCGGGTCCCTGCTGGCCTAGGCTTCTTGGACCTATCAGCCAGTGATGCTTTTGTATCTTATTCCATCCATCCCCTTGCATTTCCTTTGATTTCTGCGTTGTTCGACAAAGATGTTTGTTTCCACGGGGTAAATAAAGGGTGAAACTACTGACAATGTGAACTTCCTTGACTCTTTGCCCTGCTTTCCCTTCCAAAACCATGCACAGTACAGGCCAGCATTCTGTGATTCAGCCCTATTGTTTGATAACCCAGAGTTGATCTGGGAAGATCTGGCTGTGCTCCAGAGGGTCTTGTGAACTCCTCTTGCCATTTTTTGTCCGGTCCTATTAAAGCATGTCAGTAATCAGAAGCTGATCATATGTCAGAGAACCTGGTGCCTGATGAGGGTCTCGAGACTGTCAGCTTCTCTAGTCTGATGATGTGCCTGGCTCACGTCCCTGAGAAAGCCAGCATAAATGGGTCAAGTGCAAGGCCTTGAATAGGGGACGCTATATCAGCTCTCTGCCTTTGACACAGCTCAGGCTCTTTGGTTTCTGCTCGCTCACTCATGTCTTCTCTGTAACCTCTGTTCTCAGTTCTACCAGCCCATTTGCTGACATGAAAAAGGGTACATGAAAGAAGAGGAGAGAAAGGGAAAAGACATATTTACCAGGAAGGTTCTAGTATGCCAGGCATTGATAAGTGCTTTACTCTGTACCCCCAGACTGTATCCATTAGGTGTGGAGCCTCCAGGCGCACCTACTATGAAGTCTTGCATTACACGTTATAAATCTTATTAAGAAGGGTGGTAGAAATTCTAGACTGCCTGGGGGAACGCTCAGCTCTCCCATTTGCCAGCTCTATGACCTCAGGCTCTAAGCCCTCTGTGCCTCAGCTTCTCACCTATGAAATGGGGTAAGACACTTCTCTATCCCCTTGTAGGGAAATCCATAAACATATTTGTCAAGCACAACAATCTGTCACCTTGAAGTACTAATTAAGCATTTTCTAAGTAAATACAATAAAGTAAGTCCAAGTCCCCCAAAACAACCACAGTGGTAAACATTACTCTCCCATTTAATAAAGAAAATTTCGATCACTTGTTCAGCATAGCCCAGGAATTTGGGGGTTCCAACTCTTCCATCTGACTTCTACAATACACCAGCTTTCACCAAGGCTTTCGAGACAGGGTTAGATGGTAGGGGGCTTGTCATCCTATTTCATCCCATCTTTAGATCCCTAACATGCAACAAACTTCTCTTCCAGTGCTGGAGCCGGGAGGACTGGCTGCTTCATTGCCATTGACACCATGCTCGACATGGCTGAGAATGAAGGGGTAGTGGACATCTTCAACTGTGTGCGTGAGCTGCGGGCACAGAGGGTCAACCTGGTGCAAACAGAGGTTAGTCCTGGGGCACTGAGTCGGCTAGTTTCCTGATACCTTGGCCAAAGAGAAGCACGGTAGGACAGAGGCTCAACAGTGGAGAAGTCATACAGAACAGATTACCTTCACAAGTATTAGTACAGAATGAATACGTAGCTTGCTCTGGTGAGACATCCCAGCCAATCCTGAGAGTCTATGGTGCAGGAATTCCTGGTAGCAATAACTATTGAATCCTCTATCTCTACAGTCATCCAAGTAAGACTGAATGGCAGTTGTCAGGTAAAGTAGTCCATCCTTTGATGCAGGGATGGAGAAGAAGAGGGAGTACTGGTACTGATGGAATGTCTGCTCTGTGCCAAGCGCTCAGTCAGTCCTTGATGGGAATGGCCTCACCAACAAAGTACACTTCTTTAACGTTTATTTATTTTATTTTATGTGCCTGAGCGTTTTACCTACATGTATGTAAGTGCACCACATGAGTGCCTGATGCTCACAGAGGTCCAAAGAGCCTGTTGGAACTCCTAGAGCTGGAATGACCACAGTTATGAGCCACCATTTAGGTGCTAGGAACCAAACCCTGATCCTCATTAAGAGCAGCAAGTCCTCTTTACTACTGAGCCATCTCTCCAGCCCAAAGTTCCTGAGAACTTTGACTTGAGCTAGGGGCTATGGATTGCTAGAGAGACATATACAACCCTTAACCTCGAGGAAAGGCAGATGCCCAGGTTCCTTTCTGTCTAGCTGGAGAGCCCAGTGTCTGAGGATAATGTAAGTAGGGCTGTCTGAACTGTTGTTACCTACAGTGAGCCAAGAAATGTGCATTATTGTGTCTAGGATCCTTCCCCTACTCTTCACATCCCATGGTGTGTCTCCTACTCACATCACCATTCTATCCACAGGAAGGACACCAAGAAATTATATACTAAGTCTTCATATGGATAAAGACCAAGTGGTCTGTCCTGAACCACTCTCTCTTGTTAATCAGGTTTTCTGTCTATCCCACTTCTGAATGCCTTGGGTTGTTGTTCCTGCATTGAGTTCACCTTTTGGTTCTAGTAAAAACTGTGGGTGTCCTAGCAGATCTAGAAGCCGCGGGAGCTGTACTCGTATCAGCCCTGATATCCATGGCTTTAGGTACAGCAGTCCCTGCAATGCTCATTGAAAGCTTCATCACACTGGACTCTGATGCAGGCTCTGAGACAGTTCACAGGCTAATTCCCAGGCCTATAACACTAGAGCCAAGATGACTGCACTGTCTGTGCTTAAGGCCATGCCTGTAGAGGGCAGTTAGAGTAGGCAGAGTCAGACACATGACCCTCACTGTCGGGCATGGAGACATACTTAAATATTAAATGTATCAAGGGAAGTTCAAATAAAGCACTTTATTTAAAAGGGTCAAATTTTTTGTTGAAAAATGATGCCCAACAAACATTTATAAAGACCCACAATTAACAATAAACTTACATTCAGTAGATTTAAAGGCATTCTGGTAGTTGAGTGTGAAGTGGGATGGGAAGGAAGTGAGAGAATACTGAATACACTCCAGGAAGTAGGAAGAAAGTCATCCACAAAGAAACTCAGGGTTTCTGCAGCAAGCAGCTTCTGGATGAAAGCTGCGAACATGAGCAGAACCTCCAGGGCGTCTGCAGTGACAGGCGCTTGAGTTTCTCATTCTTATCAGTGGCTTGGCTGTTCCATCTTAGACAAGGGCAAAAATGCTCCATAGCTCAATCACCGTGAAACACGGTGACTTAGACCTTTGGGTTACAGGATATAAAACTAAGCATTCTACAGAATAAATCATGTCCTTTTCTCATTGCTACAAGATTCATTCGATGTGGACAAAATGCTCAAACAACGGTTCTCACCTGGAGCGCTCTTCCCCTCCTGTTGACCTTGCAGGAGCAGTATGTGTTCGTGCATGACGCCATCCTGGAAGCATGCCTCTGCGGCAACACGGCCATCCCTGTGTGTGAGTTCCGCTCTCTCTACTACAACATCAGCAGGCTGGACCCCCAGACTAACTCCAGTCAGATCAAAGATGAGTTTCAGGTATGGGCAAAGCCGAGGTCCAGGGACTTAGATGCTCTGGGTTGTCCTAACCAAGTTTCATTGTCTGGGTGACTTATATGGCAGGCATTTGCTTGTCACGCTTTTGGAAGCAGGGAAGCCCAAAAGCAAACAGCCAGCAAATATAGTATCTGGGGAGGGCTCAGACACCAATGTAGTTTGTGAGTGACTGCGTCCTTAGAGTTTCATATGGTGGAAAGTGGAGGAGCAAATACTTGTGTGTCTTTCCATAGGGACACTGATCCCATTCATGAAGACTCCACACTGATGATGCAATTACTTCCTACAGCCCTCACCCGCTCCTCATCTGCCCCGTTGGGAGCTGGTATAGTAGCATCTGTGTGGAGGGAATGTATGCATTCAATCTATAGCAATGACCCAAGCAACTTAATTCACATTGTGGGCCTTTCTTGATGAGATTGATGTGTGTGTGTGCTTTCAAGCCTAAAGTGCCCGGCAGCTGTGGAGAGCTTTTCACACCATCAGATTGCATAGTCATTAGCAACTATTAGCCAATCACTCAATGATGGCTGACACTTGTTTTTGTGCTGTGATTATGCTATTGAACTGAGGTCTTGGTTAATTCTTGTTGATGTTGTGGAATGGACAGAAGTTTACGCACTGATGTTGGTGTGAATTTCAAGCTTCTTTGACTCTGGAGAGACTGTACCCACCCCCCCGCCCCAGTGTTCTCTCCACGAATTCTTTAAACCCATCATCTGGCCTTGGGTGCTTGTTGGAAATGAAGATTCTTGGGTCCCACCCAAACCTACTGAATTAGAACATGCGATTTAACAAGATCTCAGGGGCATTTATTTATATGCAAGTTAAGCTTTTAACCATCTTACAGCACGGCTCAGATGTGGCAGATTCACACATTGGAATCAGGATGGTCCAAACTGAAGCTCTCATCTTAGAGGCCCAGATATAAATGACTGAGTAGAAAACTAAAGACCTGAACATGGATCACCAATAAATGCTAGAATTCAGACCTTTATCCACGGCCAAAAACTGAGCAATGGAGCTGTAAGAACTGGGCGGGAAGAAACAAGCAAATCCCAGGCTCAAAGTTTTCCAGTCAGGCTAATATTTTAGGAATCATTTAAACAAATAATCTTTGTTGTCTTAGAGACAGCATGCCAAGTGACAGAGAGATGAAAGGCACAGAACCCTGATCATTGCACACAGGACCTTCTATTGGCTGGAACAGCCATGGTCCCTAACAGGGTGAGAACTTGCTTTACAGAGCACAAGCCTTATAATTTTGTAGACCTACTAATTTGCCCCACAAGGTCCCTTACCCACCCTGAGGAGAGCATCCTAGCTTCCATCCATCCTCCTACAACTGAGACACTTCCATCGCTGAGAAAAGTGCTGAAAAAAATCACTTCCTTCTTGCCATGGCACTTCAAGTGGTGTTTAACGTTCATTAGAGATTCTCTACGCCATTCCCTGCCATATGCCCTTCTGGCTGGCCCTCCTTTAATGCTGCGCTAGCTGAGCTGAACAACAGTTCAAATGGTTGGCAGGTGTTGTCAGCCCATGTCTTAGCCCGTGTATGGGCATGCTGCCCCAGCAGCCTTGGCATCTTGAAGGTGTCACAAGCTCCTGGAAAAGTCTCTTAGCACAAAAGTCCTGTAGCTGCATGCAGGATAAAAGAGACGATCACGGTCATGGGAGAAGCGTGAGTGCAGGGGAAACAATGGCAGAGTCACGCTTGGAGGGTAAAGACCGGCGAGTTAAGCTAAATTGGACTATCCGTCTCCTTTGCTCGGACACAGCCTTTTGTGTATTACTCCTCTACTCCCTTTTATGCCCCACAGACACTCAACATTGTGACACCCCGAGTGCGGCCTGAGGACTGCAGCATCGGTCTCCTACCCCGGAACCATGATAAGAATCGGAGCATGGATGTCCTGCCTCTGGACCGCTGCCTGCCCTTCCTCATCTCAGTGGATGGAGAGTCCAGCAATTACATCAATGCGGCACTGATGGATGTAAGCTGAGCCCTGGCAGGAAGGCCCTGGCTGCCACTTCAGAAAAGGCTTTTCCCCAAGGTGGAGATGCCTGAATCCCAGAGCCCTGACCATGCCGGCCACCTTGTTTCTAACCGCTGGCCTTTGAGATCATTTCCCCCAATTCCCTCCCCAAGCCTCATGTGGAAACCCAAGTTCATTGTGTGCTTTTAGCTCTTTGACTTAAAGAAGGTGGAAAGAATAGATCAAACACTGAAGAAAAAAATAAATCCCAAGCTCAAGTCGATAGTTCTATCGTGCAAGATGCTATGTCCCACAGAAATGACTCAGCCAGAAGTTCAGGTCTGGCCACATTCCCCAGAGTTTGAGACCTCAGGAGATAAGATGTGGTGTATCATCTTGGGGTCCCTGCTGGAATTTAGTTCCTCAGATAATTCCTTTGTGAGGCAAAGAGGAAGCTAGCACACAGTAGACGATCAGTAAATGGCTAGCAGGCAGTGATTGGATGTATTAAAAGGATTGAGAAACAGGCCATGGCCCTTAAAGCATCAACCTCTGCTTCCTCAACAGCATGTCCTGCCCAGCGTTCCCATTCCTCTGCCTCACACGCCTCCCCCTTGGGTCTTGGGGCATCTTTTAGCTGTTATCATTACACCTTCAAGATACACAGATGCTTGCAGTGCCATGGCTCACAGACAGTGTAGTCTCATCCATGCTCCTTTCAGCAGGTGAGGCTCAGTCAGACTGAGGAGGACTTGCTCAGGGTATCCTAGGGAGCTAGAGTGAGACTTAGAGTTCCTAGCTCCCACCCTAGAAAAGAGGGTAATATAAGGTCAATACCCAGCTAAGGTGTCAAAAAGCCTTCCCTGGCTTTGGCTCCCAGATGCTTATATTTTCCATGGAAGCCTGGCTGAGTGCAGAAGCAGGGAGCCTTTGTCTGGATCGTGTTCAGTAGCTGGAATTGCTAAAAGAGGAAGAAAGACTTCTGATATTAGCTTAGGGTCACCTTCTAAGATCTCTCTATTGCTCTTTCTGTCTGTCTGTCTCTCTCTCTCTCTTCCTGTTTCTCTCTCTCTCTCTCTTTCTCTCTCTCTCTCATTCGCTGTGTGTGTATGTGTGCTCTCTCTCTCTCGTGTATGTGTGTGTGTGTGTGTGTGTGTGTGTGTGTGTGTGTCAGAGATAAACCCACACTTCCATGCTCCTCCTGCCCCCATCGCCCCAGCATCCTCTCTCACTGCTTTTTTCATCCAAACAAGGATCAAGGAAGCTCCAGGACTCTACTCCATAGGTGAGATGCTGCCTGGAGTCAAACACCTTCTGCCAAGCTCTGGTTCTGATTGTATTCTCCTTGTCCACGGGGCATTTCTCTTGTGAGCCATCACTGAGGCCTTTGCTTTTCTTATATTAAAAAAAAAAGATTCCTTATCTGTATTCCAGCCCAGTCTGTGCATTATCTGGTAACCATAGCAGCTTTGCCTCTAGCAGAAAAATATGAAGTCCTCTGGGTTAATTTTTAATGTTTCCCCTGGGAACGGATGATGTTATCCATGAAATGGATTGCTGGCTGATCCCTGAAACCCGGCAGGAGCACAGATCTCGAACATATTTTCAGATAAGACTTTGTCAGGCGTGCTGGCCTAATAGAGCATTTATCACAGAGACAGGGAAAGCAAAGAAAACTAACATTCGCTGCATGTCTGGCACCATGTTGGGCTCTGGACTTGCATTGTCTTGTTCTGCCCTGGAGTATTACTCTCCCTATTTTTTTGAAGATCTACTAAGGGTCAAAGGATCGCCATCATTTCTTCAAAGTCAACTGGCTTTGAAATGATGGCACCAAGGACCAGAACTGTGTGCCTACTGTCTTGAAAGTCTAATTTTATTTTATATTTTATGCATCTAATTGTAATTTTATTTTATATTCTAATTTTATTTTATGTCTTATGTGTATGAATGTTTTGCCTGAAAATATATATCATGAGTGTGCCTGAACTGGTACCTGCAGAGATCAGAAAGAGGTTGTGTGTGCCTGGTGCCTGCAACTCCCTGGAACTTGAGCTATAGACAATTGTGAGCCTCCATAGGATGCTGGGAATTGAACTCAGGTCCTCTGGTAGAGCAATCAGTGCTCTTAACTGCAGAGTCATCTCATTAGCCTCGGCCTGGATTAGTTTTGAAAGTTTGGAAATGGCAGAAAGGCCATGCTAACATGGTCTTTCAGCTTTGAGAGGTGTAAAGGGTCTGTCCCCTGGTACCCTTTGTTAGATCATCTACTGGATAATAGAAGGCCCCAGGAAACAGGAGTCCCTAATGTGGACATGACACACATGTCTGCAAAGCCTCGCCATGCTATTTCTGAGGTCTCTGTCCCTCTTCTCTCCCCGATTTCCTTCTGACTTGTGTCTCTAGTTAAGCAGCTCTGACTCCCACTCGGAGAAGCTACCCAGAAAACGTGCTGAAGCAGCGTCTGGTTCACTGGTCTCACCTGCTATTGATGAAGTAGAAACATCCCCCACAATCTTTCCAAATACTTCCTCCCTAGGTAGAATGGCACGTGGGGCCCAAGTGAAGCTTCCAGGCTTACACAAGGCATTTTCCCCCTAGGCCTCAAGGTCTCTATCTGTAACACAGGGAAAATTAAGATCTTTCCAATGCTGGGGTTGTGATTGTGTCTATTGTGTTCCAACCACAATGCTAGCGCTGAGTAGGAAAACCTAAGTCAAGAGTATCTCTACCCTGCAGTGAACTTGCTTACTGCTTTTTTAAGGTTTATTATTATTATTATTGCTGTGTGTGTGTGTGTGTGTATGTGTGTGTGTGTGTGTGTGTGTGTGTGCAAGTGCCTATGCACACATATGTGAGTATGGTGCTTGTAGAGCCAAGAGGCATCAGATCCCCTGGAATTGGAGTTACACGTATTTGTGAGCTGTATGATGTGTGTTCAGATCTCTGGAATAGCAGCAGGTGCTCTTAACCATTGAGCCATCCCTCCAGCCTTAGTTGCCAAGATTTTTCTCTTGGTTTTTTTGCTTGTTTTTTTTTCTTTGCTTGCAAATGTCGTCCGTTGTACAACAGCCATCTCTTTGGCTTTGAGCTGCATTTTCTGGGAAAAGAGTCTAAGCTTTGAAATCATCTAATGATTTGCCAATGCTTAGTACCTGATATTAAAAATATGAATGGCTAAAAAAAGGATGAGTAGAGCTGGATGAATGAACAGATGGGTGAATCATAATTTACAAGGGGCAAAACTGAGTTTGAGCCTCAGGTCCACATGACTCTAATACCTGACTGCCTTCTACCACTTTGTTGGCTAAAGGGGACAATGCCACCTCTGTCCAGACTAGCTCAGCTCTCAATTAAGGGCAGAAGTGATCCTTGTAATCTGTGCCCCCTCTGGGGTCATTGGTCCCCTCTTCAGAATCATAAGCACCTAGAACTTATGGGTTCCCTGTTCTCCCAAGGGGTGAATTGGTCAGCAGTACTGAAAACCTACATCTAGGTTGTTTCCTTTCAGAGTGTGATGATGATTTGCTGAGCTGCAAGACATAAATAATTTATTTGGATAATCCCCATCCAAGTGACACTTTCCTAATGAAATGTCTTAGTTTGGAGGAGAATGTGTTCATTATGAGAAGGTCCCCTTTGCCGCCAGGGTACCGAGAGATAACAGAGCAGGCAGGTGCTATGTGAAATCTATTTGGCAGGCTCAGGGCCTCTGGCAGCCATCCCGGCCTCATCATGATCAGAATATCATTGACAGGTATGTATTTGACTAAGCCTGTGTCATTCCTTTGTCAGAGTCACAAGCAACCTGCCGCCTTTGTGGTCACCCAGCACCCTCTCCCCAACACTGTGGCAGACTTCTGGAGACTGGTGTTCGATTATAATTGTTCCTCTGTGGTGATGCTGAATGAGATGGACACTGCTCAGGTAGGAGGGGGCATGGGACTGCTGTTGGTGGGTCCCAGTGGATCATGAGTCATGACTGATATGCTGTAGGCTGGCAAGGAGACTCTACGATACCCCAATGATGGGCACTGTCAGACTGTGAATGCCAGGCACACCCATCCTGCTGGGAAGGAGTCTCCCACTGAATCCTTCACCGAAGATGTCCATAAATTAGTCCCCTTGGCTATGGACTTTGTCTAACTACACCAAGGACAGGACCTTGTTGTCCCTGCCTCAGACACTGGTTATAGCCTTACTCTAAATCATGAAGAGCTCAGAAAACCAAGATCCCACACAACCCAAAGACTCGTCACCATTTGGCCTCTGCTGGCAGAACCTGGAGTCTGAACCTAGGAAGCTTTGGTCACTGACCACCGAGCTAAGGCTTGACTTCATGCCTTAGCCTCTCTGGGTCTTTGTGTACCTACACTTCCCACACCTAAGACATAGGACACTATCTTAGGACAGTCTCTGGAGACCACCATTATATGGCAAAACAGCTCTCTTCTAGGGTAGGTGGAATGAAGGTGGCCTTTCAGAGTTTTGCAATGTGTCTTTTCAGTGTCTTGAAGGAAGCCCAAAGTCATTCAATGCACTCTTGTGTGAGTGCTGGCCTTGTACAGGCCTTGGGTGGGAAATTTTTTTTTTCCAAACAGGGCTGAGCTATAGTCCCAGAGACAGTGGAGCGAGTTATTCTAGGCTTGTGTGGCTATGCTGTAATAGAGGTCAGCAATGAAGTGCCATGTTGACCTAGAGCAAGAAGCAATTAATTCTACCCAGAGGTGGGGGAAGAATTCAAAAGGAAGGTGACTTGGACCTTGAAGCAGGCAGGGAAGATCTGGTCATATGGGGATGGATGGCTGGGTAAAGGCATTCTACACAGACAGAACGATGGAGGCAAAGGCGAGGCAGAGGGACATATAGAGGCTTGTTTGTAGTCAGCTCCGGTCCCAGTGCTCTAAGGCTGTATCCAGAGGGAGAGAGTGAAGTAAGGCTGGAAAAGACAGCAGGGCTCAGTCAGTAGGGAAGCTCCTTGTGCCGGGCTCAGGAGCCTGGGCCTTGGACTTTTAAAGCAATGATAGAATGGAATTGTTGGTTATAAGTGACAAGATCCTTTCTACCGATACAATTTTTGTGCAAGCCCAATGAATGAAGGAGGAATACTCAAAATCTGGGCATATTAAAGCAGGAGATGAAGGCAGAGCGCACCACCCAGACTGGTCTTTCATCTGGCCTGATAGTCTGTCATCTGGATCTCTTTGCAGTATCCAGGGGCTCCAAGATAATTAGGAAAGCATTGCTATACACTGGGGGTTGTCCTAAGGTTTTCAACTTGTGTTAGAAAATGGAGTCCAGGATCAGAGCACACAGACATGGGAATCAGAGACTGGAGAGAAAATGTGGCTTATATTCATAAATGCAAGAGGAGGTCTGAGCAGAGAAAGTAGCCAGATCAAAGCAGAACTTGGACTAGATGTGAAATCATTTCCAGTGTGATGTCCACACACTTCAGGGAGCAGTTGCATGTGAATGCAGATGAGAAGAGGTTATGGGTGGTGGCATGTAGCTTGTTTAGGAGACAGATAGCCAGGAAACACATGGACAAAATGGAAAGGCAGGAAGATGGAAGGGGTGAGTATGGACAAGAGCAGAGTAGAAGGGGAGGAACATGAGTGTGTGTTGGAATGTGTCCACGAGAGATATCCAGAAGAGGTTCCCTTCATTCACACATTCCATATTCGGTGAGCATCTGCTACTGCTATATTCTGGAAGCTATTCTAGGTTCTTGGAATGCATCAGTGAACAACGCCGATAAGGTGAGGCAAGAATGTTCCTGTCTCCTGTGCACTTTCTATTTTAAAGGGGGGAGACCAACCATAAACAGCAAGTGCTCTATAATGCATTTGATCATATATTGGGACATGAGGAGAAGGAAGCGCAGAGAATATTTTAAAATTGGGTTGAGGCACGAGACACAGATGTACTAGAGTAGTCAAGGAAGGTCTTGGAAATATGTGAACACAGAGCTGAAGGAGGCTCGAGAGAGCAAGCTGCATGCTCCTCCCGGGGAACAGTGTCTCTGGCAAAGGGAACTGTGTACCCAGGCAGTAGGGCAGGAAAACAAGTGGTGTACTCAGGAACAGCATAGTACTCTGGGGCCAGAGAGATAGGTAGAGCTGCAGGCAATGGTATCAGAAGAGTAAGAGGGTTACATGCCACGGGCAACCTTAGTGATCATAGGGAGACCTTGGAACTTCATTCTGCACAGGAAAGGAAGACACAGACAGATTTGCCAGAAGAGCGACACCTCTTGACTTTCAAAAGTGCAGGGAATAGCAATAAGAATAGTCAGGTGCAGGCGATGGTGATGTGAGCAGGGTGTTAGCATGGTGTAGACTCTGCATGTATCCCAAAGGGAGGAAGACAAACTATGCTGCTTGGTTGAAGAGGGGAGGCAAAGGAGGACACTAAAGTTTAGGCTGTGCAGAATAGAGGATTGAGAACAGAGATAACAGTAGGGAAAAGTAAATTTCTCCTAAGAGAGAGTTCTAGAAATTTCTCTATCAAGTTCTAGAATCAGAAATTATCGCCACCTGCTCTTCTGCTTGGACAAGTAAGGCAACAACCTACCTTTATGAAGTATGAGTGAGCTTGGTCCTACAAAAGCCCCCCCGTGCACTCGTTAAAGTTGTGACTCAATGGCAGAGCACTTGACCAGCATCCATGACCCTCTAGGTTCGATCCCCAGTAGATGGATGAAAGCGCGCATACTTGCTCTTCTCTTTATCCAACACCCATTTTGCAAAATTGGAGCTTGGGAACAGAATGGCGATTGTGAAGAACCTTACTTTGGGACATAGAATGTCAAGGTCGCCGACTGTAGTTCCCCCTTTTCAAGAATAGATCCTTGGTGAATGATAGATCTTTCGGGCCCAGATGTTGGCGCAGCAAAGCCAGTTTGAGTCTCTGAATGTAAAAACATCAGACTCAGAAGCACCCCCAAGGTTGGCTGCCATACACAGCTGGCAAACATCCCCTGAAATCGGTAGATGAATAGAGCACTTATTGATATAAATATCATCACCACAGCAGCTGGGAGCCTTACAAAAATAAGCAGCGTTATGGCGTGAGCATCAGAAAAGCCGCCTTCAGCACCTGGAAGGGAGGTTCTTTGAAGTGGTGTGAACATTTGCCTGCTAGCATGCTCCTGCCAAGGCAGCCCAGCATGTGGGCCAGGCCAGCAAGGTGGACAGGATTGCTTAGGTCCTAAGTATCTCTCAGTTGCTCCTAGGAAAACTAACAGCACAACCTGTGGTTTGACTGTGCACTCCTGTTGGAGGGTGGTCAAATTACAGGTAGGATGCAAGAAGGTAAGGACAAGGAGAGTATGTGAGCTCTTGGGAGCCTTGATTTCCTTGTACTGCTGTGGAATTGGTCTACCTTTGCACTGAATCCTATGCTTCTTCTTTGAATCGGTCATCTGCAGCCACAGTATTGTTTTCCAAGTAGATACTGATCAGAGAACTGGGATCCATGAGAGTGATTGATAAAGATTCTCAAACCTCTGCCTTTAACCCTAGACCTTTTGCTAACTCTTTAAGACTCTGGGAGCTGGGAAGTAACTTGCCGGATAAAGTTCTTGCTCTAGAACCTAGACACAACAGCAGACCAAAGAGGCACCCAGTGCTGCTCATCCCCCTGAGGCACATGTTGTGGCAGGAGATGAATCTCTTTCAGGCTGTCTTCAACCAAAAGTAAAACCCCTCTAAGGTGAAATCGGTAAGAAACTTGACTGGCAGAAGGACCCAGGGCAGAACGGTGGTGGAGATGGTATTCCAGGGAAAAAGGAAGAGGTGGCATATCACATTGCCCTCAAGATCTGTGACAGCAGGGAGAATTACAGTATAAAGGACCACTTTCATCAGCCTGGAATCAGATTTGGGGATAGCCAAACTGATGGCTATCCCCACATTAATAAATACTGGTGTTTACAGTTCCCTTGAATATTAGCTTGCTTCAGAATATGGGCAACTTCTCCTTATTTTGCCTGTTGCTAATACCAGGGAACTAAGTGTTAGTTCCCTAGTATTTATCTTGTTCAAATTTGAGAGAATTTTGTATTCCAATCGCCTTTCAACATTTCCCAAGGTTTCCCTCTCCACATGTCATAGTTGGTTACCTTTCTTCTGTTGCTCCATGGGCTTTCCTGTCTCAGCGAGCTTCTATTCTGTAGAGCACGTGCATTCTAGATGACAGAATAACCCTCATTTTGCTTTCAAAGACTTTGGCTATAGTTCAGTGAATTTCCCTGCTAACTTTGTAGACACTACTTTGGAAACCATTGTTTCCTTCTTGTATATCTGAAAGCCAAGGCCCAAGCAGGGAAGCAATGTTAACAAGGTCATGTGACCCATCATGAACTTTTTGCCTATGACCTCCTGCCAGGGATAATGGAGATGTTTATACCAGTTAGAGATATATTTCTAGGTCCTGGTTCCTGACCATCACCCAGAAGGCAGGAACATTTCCTCACAGTAAAACAGGAGCTTACAGCTTATACAGAAGTTTAGTTGCCCATTTTTGAGGCCTTACTGTGAAAAGACTGAGATCCAGTGATGCAAAAAAAAACAGGTAAAAGGTGGGAATTGGGTGGATCTGAGGATAGGTGGATATATGTGATACGTTTCCATGCAGGTGAAAGCTTCTGGAAGGGAGGGAGGCAAACGCCCCCTTCTAGGGAGAGAGCAAGGTGACATTTGAGAGATGTGTTTGTTGTCCACAAAACAAATACTCAAAATTGATTTATCCATTTTACCAGTGCTTGAGAAAGCACAGCCTAACGTGCCAAGTAAATGCACAGAATGTCCCTTCTGTTCTTCAGCCTGCTTAGGTCTGCCTTTTAAAGGCACTGTGCCTCTAGCCTTCCAGAATAGTGGGGGTAACACTGGAATAGGAAGTCGGGGTCATTCAGGTTTTACCTG